ATAAAATAAAACCTTTAGCTTTTAACTACTTTTATTTAATATTATAATAAAACTATTAAATTTTAATTTTTATATATATATATTTAGTATAAAATAAAACTAGTAAAAAAAAAGTATTATTATTTATAATAGTAAAACTATAAAAGAAATATTATAAAGGGGATATTAAAAAGGAAATATTATAAAAAAGATATTATATAAGGGATGCTATAAAAGGAAATACTATAAAAAGGTTTAGTAAAAAGTTTTTAATACTACCTATTAACTTTATAAATAATAATATTTAGTAAATAAAAATTAAAATATAATATATAAAAACTTTTAAAAGATCCTTTAAAATTTATTAGTTATAAATAAGGGTTAAATAAAGGTAAATAATAATATTTTAATTTTATATTAAATATATACTTTTAAATAATATAGTATTATTATAAAAACTATTAAACCTTTTATAAAACTTTAAGTATAATTAATATTAATTAAAAAAGTAAATTATTACTTTATATTATATATAAGGTTAATATATTATAAAATATTATTTATTATATAAAATAATAAAATAATATAAAATATAAAATATATATATATAGGTTATTATTAATTTTAATATATTAAAAGGTAATAATAAATAAAAAGGACTTTTATAAGTTTTTAAACTTTAAAAATTTTAAAATTTTTAAAACTTTATTTAAAATATTATTATTAATATATATTAAATTAATAATAGTAATTAAAATATCTTTTATACTCTTTTTATATATTTAACTTTACTTATATTTTAGTAAGTTAAAGGTAAAATAAATACTATTTATAAACTTTATAAATAATATATTATATTTAAATATTAACTTAAAGCTTTAAGTTAATATAAATAATATATTTAGGTCTTTTAAATTAGTTATTTATTTTTATTAATTATTAAAATAAAATTTATTAAACTATTATAATTTAAATATATTAGTCTTTTAAAAATTAATAAAAATATATTTAAAATATAGTAAAATAATTTATACCTTTTATATACTATTTTAATAATAAAAACTAAATAATAAATACTTTTAAATTTTTAAATAAATAAGTTTTATTTAAATTTTAGCTTACTTAAAGCTATTTTTAAAAGATATTTTATTAGCTTATAGTTAATAATAAAATATTTTATTTAATTATAAAATTACCTATTTTAAATATATTAGTAATAAATATAAATATTATTATTTTTAAAAGTAATATTATTAAAATATTATATATTAAGCTAATAACCCTAAAATTAATTAATAAAAGACTTAAAACTATATAAAAGTAATATATATAAAAATTTTTAAATAAAGTAAGTTTAATATTAATAGTATTTTTAAAAGTAAAAATTTAATAATATTTATATATAGTTTAATAATATTTTATATATTAAATATAATTTATAAAATATATTAATTAATTTTATATATAATAAGGTTAATATTTTTTATTTAACTTAATTTTAAATTATTAAATTATAATTTAAATATATTAATTTAAAAATTAATAAAAGCTATTTATAAATAATATTTAAATAATATATATTTATAAATTATTAAGTGGTATTAGTTTATATAAAATTTTCTAATTTAATAGTAATAAAAGTAAGTATTTCTAATATAATAGTAAAATTATTTTATAATCTTCTTAATATTATAATAAAATATATTATATAAAATATTATAATATATAAAATTTATTTTATTATAATTAACCTTATAAATTAAGCTTAAATAGGTACTACTTTAAATTTAATTTATAATAAATATAAAATTAATAAATATATTTTATAAAGGGTATATTAATAATCTATTTAATATTTATATTTACTATAATAATATGCTAAAATTATATATTATTTTAATTTAAAATAGCTAATTAAAAGGCTATATTTTTAAACCTTAAAAATATTTTTTAAAAAAGGTAATAAAAATAAAATATTAAAGTTATTAATATATATATATATAATAATTAAAACTAATATAATAAATAAGTAGAAAATAAATAAAAATAAATATAAGTTATATATACTTTTATTAACAATTAAATTAAAAAGTTTAAAGGTTAATTTATTTTATTTAATACTTTTAAGTTATTTAAAAAAGGTTTATTTTAAATATTTAATACTTTTAAAAATATTTAATTATTTTAAAAAAGGTAATAATAATATAGTTTATTTTATTAAAAATAATATTTTAAATATATTATAATTATTTATAATTAGTTTTTAAATTATATTTAGCTAAAATTAAAAAAGTATACCTTTAATAAAAGTTAATATTAAACTATTTTATTAATATAAAATTATATTAACCTTAATACCTTTTAAAAATAAACTTAATATATTTTATATATTAAAATATAAAGTTTATTTATATTATTTTAATTTTTATATATATTTATAAATATTATACTATTATATTATTATAATAGTTATTAAATAGTTAAATAATAATATAAACTTTTATATAAAGTTTTTTTAATATATATATTTTTAAATATATATTAATAAACCTATTAAAATTTATAGTAGGATTATTAATAGTTAATATTATATTTTATAATTAAGTTTCTTTTAGCTTTAAAGTTTTATTAATTAAATTAAATTAATAACTTATATATTCTCTATAAATAGTTATAAGCATTTTTATAATTATATTTTATACTTTAAGTATATAAAATTAAAAATAATTTAAAAATAATTTTTATTAATTATTATATTTTAGCTTTAAAAATAGTTTATATTTATAATTTAAATTTAATTTTTATATTTATAAGGCCTTAAATACTATTTATTATACTTATTTACCTTTATATAATACTTTTAAACTTTACTATAAGTACCTTATAGTATATATATATTAATATTTTTAATATTATAAATGTTTTTAAAATAATATATATTATTATTTTAACTAGCTATTAAAATTTTAAAAAGTAGCCTTTTAAATTATTAGTTTTTAATTAATATATTAAATAATAGTTTATATTTATTTAATTTATATTTATTTAATATATAGTATTAATAAAATTTAAAATAGCTTTTATATATTTTATTTATTTTATTTTATATTTTAATAAATATTAAATAATATAGTTTATTATTATTTTTATTTTAATAATTTTAATATAATATTTTAATTTTAAAGGCTTATTTTATTATATAATATTAGCTTTATAATATTAGTTATTATACTATTATAAAATATATAAATTATATATTTTATAATCTTTACTTATATATTAGCTTTTTATTTAAATATAAATCTTTTATTTATTTTTATTACTTTATTTATTATATAATAAAGGTTATTATAATTTAGTATATAAATAAAAGTAAATATAGCTTTTAATATACTAATATTATTATAAGATATATATTATATTACCTAAAATAATATTTAACCCTTTATTTAAATAATTTAATAAAGCTAAATTATATTTATATTTATAATAAACCTTTAATTATTATTTAAAATACCTATTTTATTTATATTATTATATAGTTATAAGGCTTTATTTTATTTATAATTTTAAATATTAATAAATATAATAATACCTTATTTATTATTATTAAAATAGTTAGATACTAATAATATATATTTAACTTAATATAATAATAAAATTTTTATTTTATAAACTAATTTTAATTATTAAATATATTTTATTTAAAAACTTTATAATAGCTTATTAAAGGTTTAATTTTATATTAAAATTCCCTTTAATAAATTTAATTTAAAGTTTAATATTATTATAAATATAAGTTACTTATATAAATAATAAGCTTAATTAAACTTAAACCTTATATTATAAGTTTTTATTACCTTTTATTAATATTTTTATAAACTTTTTAATATTATAGTTTTAATAAAAGGGCTAAAAGTTATAAAAATAAATTAAATATTTTAAATTTATAAAAAAGTAAAAATATTAATTAAATATATTATAAAATTAAATTTTTAAATATATAAAAATTTAAAAACTAGTTTTAAATAATAATATTATATATAGTTTTATTTAAATTATAAAAGAGTTATATTTATATTATTTATATATTTTATTAATATATTTTAAACCACCCTTATAAAGTAAAAAATATTTTTAATATATATAATATATTTATATAAATTATTTAAAAGTTATATTACTATTTTTATAAATATTAAATATATTTCTTATAAACTATTAAATAAAATTTAAAATATATTTAAAATAATAATTATAAAATATTTAAAATATACTTTAAGTTATATTTAAAATTAAATTATAATTATATTTTTAATTTATTTTATTTAATTATTAATTAAATTATTTTATTATTTTATTTTATTTTATTTAATATTTATATTAGCTATATTTATTTTAAATATATTTTATTTTATATATAAAATTAGGCTTAAAATCCTTATTTAATAATTTATACCCTTTTATATAATATTTATACTATTTATATAAAATAATATACCTTATTATTTATATTACTAATATAAAAGCTTAATTAAACCTTTTAAATAAGTTATAATTATATTATAATTATATTTAAAATATATTTATATTATAATTATAAAATAATTATAACCTAATTAAAATATACTTTTAATATAATTAAATTACTATTATAATATATTTATTTATATATTATATTATTTATTTATAATAATATAAAATTATATTTTTATATATTTATTTTTATAAATTTATAAAATATTTATATTTACCTTTAAGTATAAAATTTTTATTTAATTTTTATTTATATTAATTTTTATTTATTTTAGCTATTTTATTTTTATTAATTTTAAGTAAGCTTTAATATTTTTTAAGCAAGCTATATACTAGAACTTAAAATATTTGTACCTACCTTTAGGTATAAGATTCTTATTTAATTTTTATTTATGTTAATTTTTATTTATTTTAGCTATTTTATTCTTGTTAATTTTAAGCGAGCTTTAGTGTTTTTTAAGCAAGCTGTATATTGGAACTTTGACCCAACCTGCACTACTTTAAGAACTGACCCTCTCCCCCCCTCCTCGTTGCTCCTGTTAAACGACCACAACAATACACTACTCCTTACAGTCATCCCCACCTCGCCACGCTACGTGTTTTAGCCCACCATGTCTGTTGTATCGCTTCTTGGGGTCAACATCCTCAACAACCCAGCCAGGTTCACCGACAACTACCAGTTTGAGATTACTTTCGAGTGCTTGGAACAGCTTGAGAAGGGTGAGAGCCTCTCCCACCCAGCCCCGCTGCAGGCCCTGGCCACCTCTGACAACTGCCCTTTGCAGATCTCGAGTGGAAGCTGACCTACGTCGGCTCCGCTACCTCGTAAGCCGCATGCATACCGTTGGCGCGACCGATGCTCGAAGAAACCCTCCGTACTGACACCAAGCCCCCCTACCCAGCGATCAATATGACCAGGAGCTGGACACCCTGCTGGTGGGACCCATTCCCGTCGGTGTCAACAAGTTCATCTTTGAGGCGGATGCCCCTGACACCAAGCGCATTCCCGACGCCGAGGTTATGGGTGTGACGGTCGTCCTCCTGACTTGCGCCTACGACGGCCGGGAGTTCGTGCGCGTGGGATACTACGTCAACAATGAATACGAGTCCGAGGAGCTCAATGCGGACCCTCCTGCCAAGCCCATCATCGAGAAGATCCGCCGCAACATCCTTGCCGAGAAGCCCCGTGTCACTCGCTTTGCGATCAAGTGGTATGTATTGCACCACCTCCACTCCTCTCGATATTTGTGGGCTTCGGCTGACGGTCTCTTTTCCACCCGCTCAGGGACAACGACGCTACTGCCCCTGCTGAGTTTCCTCCCGAGCAACCAGAGGCCGACCTTGCCCCCGATGATGAGGACTACGGTGCCGACGAGGCTGACGACGATGGTGAGGAGGCGGACGGAGTCGCTGCTCCCAACGGCGAGTCTTCTGCTGTCGGCGAAGACGCTGCCATGGCCGGCATCACCGCTGGGAACGGCGAGCACCGGGAGGACGATGAAATGTCCGAGGACGGCAGCGTCGACATTGATGGCGAGAGTGAAGACGAGATTGAGGAGGAGGAGGAGCTGGAGGGCCAGGCCGCCGACGGAGGAGACGGCATGGATGTCGACATGGATGATGCTCCGGACTCTGGTTAGTACTCTGGGGTTTCTTTGCCTCTGATTGCAACGGCAGTGGTTTCACAAGGCTTTGCTGAGACATGTCGTGGCCACTGGCACTGCCTCCTTCCATATTGGCAGAAGTGGAAATACCGTACTGACAGAGCATCAGGTGCGCAACACTCGGAGGTCATGGCCCACTAACTGCACATTCTTCTCATTTCGACCTCAGTTGTCCGGCGTTACCTTATGTCATGATATCCCCTTACTTTGATCAGAGTTCGCGAAGCACTAGACTCAGGATGATGGATGGTTAATGCATTACGAAAAATACATACAGTTTGACTGTTGATGGGGTTATGGCAGGTCTGGGGACTTGGCAGACATCAGGGAGGCCTGCCTCACTTGTCATAGACTACAGGATCGAGATAAGCGGTGGAACTGCGCTGTCTCGAGATAAATACAAGTCCGGAATTGTAATAGACATCCCCCTTTGGCTTGACTATCTCGTGTCGACCTAGGTGGGTATGTGATGACCCCTTGTAGGATGTTTCTCTATGAAGCATTATTCTATGAGAGAGTATTCTATAAGAGTGTATGAGGTCATTCTATAGCAGGCTGTCTTTGAGTCGTTCTCCCACGGGGGTATATTCCACGGGACGGTGCGCCATAGGAATTTGAGGAAAGATACTGTGGTTTCTAGAGGGCACCCGAGCAGAGCCCTGCTTTTGACATGACGGGGCTCGACCTGCGCACCCGGAGCTCGCCTCACAGCCTGGCCTCTTGCGACGCCGGAGACCGGCTCTGGGGTTTGGACGTAACATCTTTCCCAAGCTGGTGACGTATGTCCGTGGAGTCACGCCGCCGTCAAAAGAGAGGCTCTGCAGAGCTGACAGATTAGGGCGAACACGTCGGCGAATGGGTGAAAGAGGCATTTCTTCCGCCCGACGCCAGCACGCCTCGCTGCTTACGCCCCCCCACGCCCGTGCCTGCTCGTCTTGGCAACCCGCGAAGCCATGCTACCTTGGGGTTGGCTCGACACGCCCAAAGGCGGGTTGGACAGCTGAAGAGGGAATAGACGCTCTCCCACAGCACCCTCATATGAACCGGGCGTCTTTTGCCCGGTCAAGTGACTGGAATGCAGGCTGCCGTGAGCTCCCGCAGCTGTCCTGAATCGGCAGCCAGACTGCCAGACCAAGGCATTCCGCGGTGCCAGATTGCGGCTGAGCTCCCAATACAAGCCAATGGCCGACATTACACCATCTGCCGTGCCCTGGGTCTGAATGGGAGGAGAGGAATCGCAGTGAGGCTTCAGCGTCAGCCTGGCTGGTGATGGGCAGCTCTCAGAGCTGCCCAGGACTGCTTCAGAATTAAAACCCTCGTGTCCTCCCTGGGAGCGCCTGGGCACCCAAGTATTTCTTGTTCCTCGACGTGTTCCTCTCATCCCGCCGTCTTGTACGAGAATTTTCACTGCAATGTCTTCTGCCCAGCAGAGAAGCGTTGAAGACCTCTTCCGCTCCCTGGAGCGCTCCCAGGAGCAGTACCTCAAGAACCTCAAAGCCTTGCACGACGCCACCAATGGCCACCGTGGGCATGTTGCGCCCGGCAGCCAGCGCATGGAAAGGACGGGGAGTAACGACAGATCACCCCAGTCTCCAAGCCTGAGGGCTGTTCCAAGCACCGGGGATACAACGCCTGTGCCGCTCTCAAGAGCAACCTTTCCCTCTGAGACACCCTCCTTGCAACTCAGTCCCGGCGACAGACGGCCCCGCCGGCTTACCAACGAGCTGGCAGACCGGAGGCACTTTTCCAATCTGACGAGCGAGGTGCTTGACGGGGCAGGGTGGGAGAGCGACGATGATTCCAGCAGCTTCACGCCGCTGCCTCTGCTGCCGGCCACCGGGGCCCGGAGTGCATCTCTCCCCGTGGAGTCAGCATGGTGGCCGCGCGTCCAGAAGCCCTTGAAACAGAGCTCATACACACGACCCGACCTTGTCCGCCATCTTAAAAGCATCACGGATGACAAAGAGGCAACCGTCGCCGTGCTCGGGGATGTAATTCGACAGTGCGAGGCGTCGACGCTATTTGGCAGCGACACGGATTGCTTGGCAGCCGACAATGTGGCTTCAACCTATGAGGTCTATGATATCGACAGGAACGGACAGTCTACCACCGTTCATGATGACCGAGGAACTGCAGAGGACGAAGTGCTCGACCCAGCCACCGTATGGGATACCATCAAGGTGAGTGCCCGGCGCAGGTGATCGTTGCCACAAGGTTTGGAGCGCTGATCGATTCGCAGGATGTCAACCTCGACGACAAGACTGTAGGGCGTGTCACGTCAGTGAAGCCTCCCACGCGTGATTCCCACTGACGAGTTCCTGACAAATGCCTCTAGGGTTTTCCAGGAGCCCTCGCCAGCCATTCTTGCAGGCATACACCTAGCAATGAGCAAGCATTTCGACATGGACGAGCTCTTCTCGCACCTGGTGTCCCCACAGGGAAACCAGGGTAAAACCACTGCGTATATGCACAGAGCAGCTGAAGCGAATCCTATACATCAGAGCACCTTCTTCATCGTCTTCAAATATTACACGGTCGTGGGAGAGGGCCTCACTCCGGCCCCATGGCAGCAGTATGACCACCGCCCTGCAGACAAGAAGGCCCCAGATCACATCAACATCACCGAGTGTAGCTCCATTCTCGCCCTTTCGTTGGAGGGTGACCCTGTTAGTAAGGTGCCACTGCGAAGGGGGCGCAGAAAGGGCTCCAAGGTCGGGGCCGTCTACGACACCTTTGCTCCGTACCATCTGCTTAATATCCAGTGCTTTCCAGATCATATCCATGCAGAAAACGAGTCCATTAGGAAGCCTTGCTACTACAACGGGCCTTATGTGTTCCTCAACCGCCTGGTCGCCGAGTACAAGGACGCTACGAAAAGATATCTGCAGCTCAATGATCGGATCGAAAAGCTGATCACTCCTCCGGTAAGCCTACCTGCAAGTATGATTATGTTTGTCTGTTGTGAAGCAGCCCGCAGCTCGGGACTCCATGCTGTAGGGGACTGTTACTGACTCCGGTCTGCCGCACAGAACCAATTCATGTTCGACGTGAAGCTCCGAGACAAGCTCCTATTCGAGGACGCCGATTTCACATTTAGCCGACGATACTTTTGGGCCTACAATTCTCTTGGTGTCATCAACGACGGCATCAAGTCGATGATCAACGCCTACACAGACACCTTCACACCAGAGTTCTGGGCGGGTCGCGACCGGACGCTGTGGCCGCACCCGGACCCAGACAGCACCGAGGGCAGGAACTACTTGGCGCAGCTGGGCACGCTTCGCCAGGAGCTGGAGCAGGTCATAGAGGACCTGAAGCAGGTCTTCAAGGCTAATGAGCTGGTCAGGCAGGAGATTGTCAGCCTGCGGGAGCAGCTCTTCAGCGGGAGCTCGGTCAAGGAGAGCCGGAGGGCCATCGAGCAGGGCGACAACATCAAGATACTTACCGGTGTGTCGATGTTGTTTCTGCCTTTGACTTTTGTCACAGTGAGTGTCTCCTATGTGATACTAGCCTGTGTCATTTTATGACAGAATAGTCCTGAATAATGTGTCTAATTGCTGGGTAGTCTGTCTTCGGCATCACCGAGTTTACGATCTCAGCAGACGACTGGCGGTTCCCAGTGACTAGTACGCATTTCCCGGTTTTTGTTTTGGTCAATCATCTCATGTCAGACTGCAGCTTGTGCCATCAATGCTGCGTCGAGCGGACTCTTACGTTGCACGAAATTCTTCAAATTCTTTGAATGGCTGACTCTAGATAACCCAGTGGTCGGAGTCTGCGTCCCCTTCTTCCTACTGATATTCGTTCTGCAAACGCGCGCTGGCATGCGTGCAGTCCGTCGAATTGGCGACCTCATCGAGGGTCAAATGGGCCGGTGGAGCGATGGCTCGCCCAGCCGCCATGAGAGGAGGCTCCAGCTCCAGCAGCAGCTCTTACAGGCAGCCGAGTCTCAGGCCGCTGTCCTTGGCGGGAGGAGGCGGATGAGCCTCAGAAGGGGTACAAGGCGGCGAAAGACCAGCATCGCCGCCGGGCCTCCGACGAGTGGAGTCGTCAATGGCCTTTCCATGCCGGCTCAGCAAAGGGCAAAGTGGTGGGTGCGGTTGAGAAGGAAGGAGCAGAATGGCCTCATTGTATAAGAATGGCAGTATGAGGATACTCCCGTGGGATAAAGCACATTAACAACTCACGAATCAATCACATCATAATGATAGGTCGAGGTTGGTATGCCCCGAGGCGATATACATGTATTGTAACTGAGCACTGACTACAGATGAAATTAGGCCCAGGCCCGGCCCAGAGCGAAAACGGCCTGGGCATCGAACAAGCTTGCGATGGCGTGATTCATTGTTCCAATGAACCCGGCGCTTTCAGCTTCGTCCTGCGGAGGTATGACTAGGTGTACTTTTACTGAGTACTCGAGTACATCAGAGCATCTAACCCGGGGCGTCGAGCACTGGGCGCACAGGTTGCCATTCTCAGACCCTGTCCACGAGAGGGCAAAGGGCCGACAGCTGACGGACGGGAATCAGTGGCCACGAATTCCGGGAGTCGGTCTTGTCCATTTCTATCTACCAACCGGCGCAGATCTTGCTGCAACACCACAAGAATTGTGGAGGCTCGCGCCTTCTCATCAGCCAGCCAGTGCGCCTCGCCAGCTCGCCCGGGATCAAGCTCCAACCCCACACAAGCTTGGCTCGTTGAACCAGACGCCGGGTACGCGGCTACGGCTGACGGCCTTGGCGACTGGTGCACGCCAAGTCGAAGGGATTACCGTTGTGGCTCCTAGGACACTTGGCCTACGTGAGCGAACGCATGATCCGACCTCGATTGGGCAGCCGACATATCCCAGGTCCTCTGTCTTGCGCAGGGTGCATGTGCATCTATAAGAGAAAAATGGTCCCCGTGCGGGTGGGGATTGTGGACGTCCGCCTGGCTGTCGCATTCCAGTCCCAATCACTACCATTATGAACTTGGCACGCAGCCCGAGGGCCTGGCCGGGACAGCTGAAGAAGCTCGGCGGTTGGCTGCTCCCGCCTCCACCAAAGTCCGAGGATGGGCGTGACCAGTGGCCGTCAAGGGCGGCTTTCCTCCTCGCTGCCATGGGTGGCTGCGCCGGCCAGGGCAACCTGCTGCGATACCCCTCGGTGGTCTACAACAACCATGGGCTGCAGTGGTTCATCCCCTATCTCATCGCCGTCTTCCTGATTGCCATCCCGGCCCTCATCCTGGAGGTCTCTATCGGCCAGGCTTACCGGGGTGGGACGGTCGTCGCCTTCAACAACGTCAACAGGAGGCTGAAGGGCGTCGGGATGGGGCCCGTCTTTGTCAGCTTCATCGTGGTGCAGTACTTCACCGTCAACCTGGCCTGGATCATGACTTACTTCCGGCACTCTTTCACGAGCCCCCTGCCGTGGGAGGGCCAGGTCCAAGAATTCTACATGGGCACGGTCATCGACAATCCGGACCCCGTCCCCGGCAGTCTGACGGCCGGGAATGCCGAAGTATCGGCGTACACCAACTACACCGACGTGCGTGTACTGGGTGAGACGGTAGGCTGGAGCGCCTTCGTCTGGTTCCTGATTTGGGTTTCCATCTTCCGCGGCGTCGGAATGACGGGCCGCGTCGTGTATTTCACCATGGGCCTGCCCATCGTCACCACCATCATCTTTGTCGGCCGCGCCGTCTCTCTGCCTAATGCAGGTGCTGGAATCAGGCTTCTGTGGGCTACGTGGAGGGGGGACCAGCTGGCCTCGGGCACAGTCTGGCAGACCGCTGTCGGCCAGGTCTTCTTCTCCACCGGTATAGGCTTTGGCTACTTTACCTCGTACGCCTCGTACAACGCCAAGTATTCTAACGCAGTGATGGATGCCATCCTGATCTGCAGCAGCAACGTCCTCTTCGAGAACGTCGCCGCCTTTGCCATCTTTGGCGTGGTCGGCTTCCTAGAGCTCTGGCCCGAGCCAGGCCAGCGACTGGGCGCCTTTGTGGTCGGCTTCTTGACGCTACCAGAGGCTGTCATCCAGATGCCCGGGGCAAACTTCTGGGCTGTCCTGCTCTTCTTCACCCTTATAGTCCTTGGCTTCAGTTCGGCGTTTGTCATGCTGGACGTCGTGGCGACGCTCATTACTGACTCGGGGCTGACAAAGGCGTCGAGGCCCGTCATCGTCACCGCATTGACACTACTCTCGTTCCTCATGTGCTTGCCCTACTGCACACAGTTTGGCTTCTATCTACTCGACGGCATAGACCGGTGGGTCAACAATGTCGCATTGATCTTTGTGGTCTGGTCGGAAGTCGTCAGCTCGACGACTGTGTACCGCTGGGGAGATGTCGTGAGCCAGACGGGCCTGCCTGCTTTCATCATCTACAACGTGGGATACATTGGAGGGCAGATTGTCGGCGTTTCTGTCGCGCACGGCAGCGGTGTTCCGGCGGCCGGGGCCGGGGCCGGCTTTGGCCTCTATATTGTGTGCTCCCTGGTGGCAGTGTCCATCGCCAAGACTCCAGACTCCGCCGCCGCCCGATTCTGGAAGGCTAATAAGTGGACTAGCCGGCTCTGGTACCTGGCATTCTATTCGGTAAGTCGAGAATAGTCAGTTGGTGGCTTGAACATGAGCTAAATCTACGACAGGGCAACCAGCTCCGACGTGACCTCAACATGGTGGTCGGGCGCGGCAGGAATTGGAGGATACCGACCTTCTGGCCAGTTCTGCTGCGATACATCAGCGGCCCAGTACTGTCCATCATATTCAGCTTTGCATACCCGGAATTCTACACCCTACGATACGACCCCATGATGATTGCCGGCTTCATCCTGGCTCATCTCGGGCTACTGCTTATCCTGCTGGGCTTCGTGATGCCCAGGTATTACGATGTATTCATACCTGTGGATCGAAGAGACGAAGAGTTGAGAAAGACGCAAGCAAACCAGCCGGTGGAAGACACGCCGGAGGAAACGATCGCCAGCGGCGGCATGAACAAAGAGACAACTGGTGTCTAAGCAATTGGTATGGCGAGGTGACATGGGTGCCTTCCCAATTAACTATCATAGGCCAACTCGATTGCAAGGCGATAGATAGACTTGTGACCTTACCTAGGTACATATGTAAACCAATAGAGTCATGGAAGATACTCCACGGTCCCCCGTTGCTGAGTGTGCTTCCAAGGTTGTCACAGAACCTGGCTTCGCGGATCATTGTTTTCATATGCCCTGAGAATTGTGCATCTTCAATTCGACATTTGAATGGACTCTGCGCGTTCAAAGGACGTGACACTTGGAGATTGGAAAAGCCAGGCTTGCAGAAGTAAGCATTGAGCCTGGGCCGGCCTGTGGACATACCCTTGTTTCAAGGGTTGGGCCCTGAGTTGGCCAAGACAAGTCGCCATGCGTCAAACCAGCCGACATCGCAACGCACCGGAAGCATGGGCGGCTATCAGAGCATCGATGGCTCTAAAGATGAACTTTCGTGGCTGAGCAGTACGTGAGTCTCCTGTTTGACCAAAGCCGCGCACACCCGCCTTTGCCCTCCATGGGCCTGTTGCAGGTGTCTTGAAGTCCGCACTGTGGGGCTTGGCATGGGAAATTTCGGCTCACATAAATCCTCAAGCAGACAAGAGCAGCTCAACATTGCCGGATAGACAGCTGAGGCACATCAAGTCTATGGGAGATACCACAAGAAACACGGCTCACATATCGGGAAGACCTGTGGGGCAAGGCTGGCTGTGACTGGTCATCGGGTGGAGCGCTGCGAGATGGCAGGATGCGTGGGCGCAACTCTGCCAGGGGACCTGCTCGAGGCTCAACTCTCGATGGTGGAGTTGATCAGGGCCATGTATCCAAGCTCGACAGGGAGCTCAGATTCAGCCACAGACGAGATCATTGAGAGAGCAAGGTCATGGTGCGAGTCCCCGGGCCCGCCCAGTGACAGCCTCCCATCCAGCTTCAGCTTCGACATGACCATCCCGCTGAGCGTGGACGGCTCCGAGGCGGAGTCGCCTGAGATACAGATGAGCATAGCGGTGCCCCTGACGTCGACAGACGCGGGCATCACGGAGCCGCCACCGCTCACATACTCCCTGCGCCAACCATTCTTCATGTCGCGGGCCGAGCTCGCCGAGCTGGGCACCGGCATGCCCGTGGGTGACGTCCTGGCGGCATTCGACTACGTCCAGGAGAACGCGCCGAGGTATCTCCGCAACTCGTCACAGTCACAACGGGAAGAGCCGTCCAAGCCAGACAAGGAGGCGGGCCCCTTGGTGCGGGTATGGTTCTACTTCCCGTCCCTGTCGACGCGGGAGAAGCGCAAGGACCTGGTGTCGTACACGACGGCGTACGGGCTGACGGGGTTCGTGCTGGCGGGGAAGCCCGGGGTGCTGTGCCTGGAGGGCAGCTCGGGGGACATTGACGGGTACATGAACGCCATCAAGAACGAGAGCTGGGGCGACATCCCGAGCCACCAGAAGAAGGTCAGCGAGAGGTTCCGCGAGGACTGCGGGCCGGCGGGGAGGAAGTTTGCGGGCATGAGCGAGATCACGGATGACCTGGGGGCCAGGCACGGCACGCGCAAGAACAGGGGCGACATGGCGGCCCTGGAGGCGTGGCTGAAGGAGAAGGGGGTTGGCGATTCTTTTTCCAAGGTTGTCATGGGCACCTGAGATGAGTCTCAGGTATCGTCCTGTTGCTCTGATCGAGCACCCGCCATGTATAGTACCCATGCAGTGGTGGTCCACACGCACCACAACCTCCACAACCTCCGCAACCCACATCTCGTCGTGGTTAGCTGCCCTCCAACGAAAGGGGTGTTGGTTGTGGCAGCCTGCACCGACCCAAGGCAGCAGTCGCAATAGTGGGGCTGGCCATCCAGAGCAGTTGGCTCAACATAAAACGCAAGCCCATCCAACTTCCCCTGCAACAAGGAGAAATCGCAAGCTGCACAGCCTAAACCATCATGGGGAGCCCGCACATGCTATATGTCATCGCCAAAATCAACGGGCTCTACCGCCCGCTTGCCGTGCTCTGGCGCTCCCACGACAACAAGGGCGTCTGGGCGGTCGAGACGTGTCGCAGGCTCATCAACATCTTCCAGGAACCCCTGAACCGGGCCCTCCTGCTCCATGAGCTCCAGCTCGCCGGCGGGCTTCCCTCGGACAAGTGGGAGGAGCCCTGTCGAGAGTATCCCAACGAGAGGCCCGCCTTCCCCTTTATTGCGACTTGTCTCCTCCTGGGCGCCTCAGTCACGCCCGAGACGGGTGGAGGGTACAATGCCATCCACGAACCATTCAATATTCCACTCGCCGCCGTCTCCGAGGGCTGTACCATCCTGGACATCACGAATCCTGCTGAGGTCAGGTACGCCTTTGCTTTTGTCCCGCGCCCGAGATGTCGGTCCGAGGTAGCCGTCAAGGTTGCCTTGGGCAACACGCCCCTGACTGCCTGGGAGTATGCCTCATTCTATGACGATCTTAGTGATCATGAGGACTGCGCAAGCGTGGATGATGATGAGGTGGTCAGTAGTACTCGTGCTCGTTTCATAGACACTCTCAGGGGACAGGTGGCCACCGATGCAACTAGGATCACTTCGCCCCTAATCGACGAGGAGGCTCTTGAGAGTGCGTGGCCACAGCCAGCAGACGGGCAGTCGTGGAAGCGACGAACTGACTTGGGTCTCGCGGAATTTATGATCCCGCCGCCTTCGAAAAGCGAGCCTGCTACATCATCACATCGCCAGCCCTCGGCGCACCACGTCGAGGCCTTGCACGAGGTTTTTGAACAGTCTTATACACTGTTCCAGCCGGGATACAACGAGGGCAATGACGGAGAAGTTTCTGAGCCCGTACCACTCGTCAGGCAAGTTGCCAATATTCTCCACCTCGGGTCACTGGATGACTCTTCCTGGCAACAAAGGGTCGCCGATTACGAGCCCAAAGGCAGAGGGTCGTTTCGGGAAAACGCAGTCCAGTATTTCACTTTCCAGTTGGATGACTGCCCCGTCACCAGTGGGCAGACACTCGACGTCATCTTCAGCTGGATGGTGGCAGCTACCGCCCAGGAGGACCTAGGAGGCGAGTTGCAATATGAGCATTATTATAACTGCACCAAACCACAGAGCGATCAGACTTTGGTCAAGTACTTCAGCCTCGCCGGCCCGGTATGTTATGCCCCTTATAGGTGGCACCGTGCCTCCGGACATTGAAGCAAGCTGACACCCAAGCCTCCAGAACCACTGGGTTGTCAAGCCTCTGCCCGGGCGAGCATTCTACTACGCAAAAAAGTCATACCACAGCAGTCGCGACTGGACCACGGCTGGCCTCGAGGGAATCAGAGAGGGCGAGTGGACAGCGCTCCTCATCCAGCAGTGGCGTGGGGTGCGACGACACAAAGGCGGGATGGGGATTCTTTCCCTCGTCACGACGGATATGGACCCCTTCGAATTCAAGTGCGCCTTTGTCACCCGCGGCAAAGACGGTGAGATCACGGCCGCCGGTGCAGAAACTTTCCGCTCTGCGAACGTTCCCAACCCAGCGCATGAAGCCCTCGCCAAGCTTGACCCCGGCGAGGAGACATATGGGCGGCAGCTGACTGATATACTCGCACGGGGCGACGCTAACATTAACGGCGTCCCTGTGTCTCTCATGGGGAGGCCCGAGGTTCTGGAGCTGCTGAGTGCAATGGAGGTCGTCAAGGCCCGCGAGGACAAGCTACTAGCGAGTTCCTGGAGCAAGGTCCACCGGGGGATCATGCAGAGAAAGGCTAGGGAGAGCGACAGTGTGATCACATAGGCATCTCGCCATGGCTTCGAAGACGTGGGTCCTGTGCATGTCAAGTCTGCGAGGAGCTGTGCAAGTGTACCTTGTGTGTGGTCCCGCTCACGACGATGCGCCCGGTAAGGGGATGAAGGCGCGGCGCTGAGAAGACACCACAAACAAACACCATTCCGCGGTTTTGAAAAGTACCAAGCGGGAAGCTGATGTGGTTTTTTTCCTTAGAGTCCTTGAGCTTCAACCCTGGAAGACAAAGCCGACTTGGGGCACTGGAAGAATCCGCCCTCAGCGTGCAGCTCAACAGCGGCTATGTTGTGCAGACTCGGGTGTAATAATTAGAATGCGCGAGGGAGCCCAAACTCAGTCTGAGCCCCTTTGGGCAACCTCAATAGGTAGAGTCATCCATGGATCGGAATTCCGGGCAAAGTACCGTATGTGCGGGTGAATTGAGAGGGAAATGATGGGACTCCATCCTCGGCGGTAAATTCAGCCATGGCCTGTTCCGGAATGATAGAAAGAAAAGGTCATCAGGTAGAGATGGAGGCACCGCGCGGGGTGACGAGTCCCGGGTCCCTCTGTATCGGCCTTGGACCAGCAAGACGAGGCTCGCTCCTCACCATCGGATGGTTATGCGTGGAACTAGTGCCGCCCCCCAGATCGTCTCATCCGCAGCAGTAGTGCCGTTAATCATCTCAACGTGAGCCGCCTGTCCCCCGGGCGGGATGAACAACACCTGAGCTGAAAGTATATTTGCTGCTGTGTGCGTGTTGTCATGCCTGGCGGCGTGTCGGAGACTGATCGATGGCAGAAGTGACGGATCCAACGAGCCTGAGCTCTTTATATGCTTGAATAGCAAGGCCATGCCGCGCTCGATCCGAGATGATCACCCTAGTGGGCGTCGACCCGGATGCTCAGGCAGCCGCTCGCCAGTGTTGCCGCCCATGCGTGGACACCAAGCCGGATTTTCAGGAGTCGGGCTTCCAGCTGCATCCAACCTGTTGACATTGACCTGTCGGGGACAGTCAAGTTGGACCATGTCTTGGCCAACAGGTGGCAGCCTCTGTGGCATTTTTACGAGTAGCCTGGCGAGTCAACCAATGGTGAAGACACGGAGTAGGAGGGGTAGGAGGGATGGCTGAGGCAGAGAGGGATGAGATGGCAGTACCGAGAGCCTCAAACGCGTCGCGATACATGGCGGCTCTGCTGCTGACTCGAGCCAGCGACCCCTGTCTTGGGAGTGGCTTCGGGATCGACAAGATCCGTCTTCGTGCTTGACTGAGGGTCAGAGAGAGAGAGAGAGAGGCGGATCATCCAGAGCGAGAAGACGTGGTACAATCGCACGTGCTGATGACAAAGGCAAGCGTTGGGTGTGGGCAAGGCAGAGGGCGTCGTCATCCAAGTGCGGCGGCCGAGGAGTAGCAGGGCGGGCTGGGCGGGCTGGGCGGGTGGCATCTTGGCACCAAGCAAGGCGCCTCAAACTGAGACGGCGGCGATCGACAGTCTTGCTCCCTGGGCGTCTGGGTCAACAGGCTCTCAGGGCCATTTTACTCTTGGCTCCCTGTCCATGGACGAGACGAGAGTCACTGCATAGTATCTTAGTCTCGGGGTGCTATGACGGGGTTCATCTGCTCGCAGGCACTGCCGCAGCAGTTGCTTTGTGGCTTGAAACCGAGATTTGCAGTCGATCGATCATTGACAAGGCGTGCTGGCGTGGCTGCACTGGTCAGATGTCTGTTGTGCTGTAGATTCGACATTTGTCAAACGGTGCTACGGTGTTACTGTCGGAGGACATGACGCTGTCTGTTGCGGGTGCCTTTCTCTGTCTGACCAGTGATGAGCCGCTCGACTGGCTGACTGACTGGCTGTCTGCCTCTTGTCTACTGTGTCAGTCAGTAGTGGCCGGCGGCACCAAGTAAGTATTCTTAGCAGCAACGTGGAAATGATAGGACGAGTGGTTTGCAGACAGGACCCAAGGCCCGACGGCCAGACCAGAAACACGGAAGGGACGGGAAGGGCCTGTTGGGGTGTCTGATCCTGTCCCAGGCCAAGTCGGCCCTTGTCGTCAGTTCGAGCAAGATTGACTGCAGAGCCAAGCTTTTCCATCCCGTGTTGTACTGTGTGTGTCCAGAACAGTGTGCAATGTACCTAGGTACCTGCCCCACCGTGCCCCCCCTACCCCCCCAGGCGGGCAGCCGCTGTGGCAGCTGGGCAGCTTGTGGCTAGCGGCCCTTGGGGCTGATCAGGTACAAGCCGTCACAACTCAAGTTTCACCATCCCACCATCCAAACCAGAAGGGCAGAGACCCTGTCGTCCGCGTCCGTCTGATGCTGGGCCAAACCCCACCGTTCCCCAGTTCAGTTCACGGCACCGCATACCGTCATCAGAAACGGATGCACGACTGTGGTCTAGCGCGCCGAGTATGTACACACACACTCTGTTTGGTGGGGACTGGCACAACTGGGATGGATGGAGAACCGGGGGCGGGGCGACGTCCTTTCTTGTACACGTTTGGCCGCCACCCCTGCCGAGGGGACTGCTCAGGAGGCCGGCTGTCCTCACGGCCGGAATACGTCGGCGGGTACTCGAGCATAGGCGACAGGACATGCCATGTCATGATCCCGGGCTGGCAGGCTGGGCAGCTGGAGGACCTCGACAATCCTGATACGCCCTGTCGTGCTGTGCCACGCCATATCAGGCTGATAATGCTGTCGGGATGCCATGTCTTGAGCCTGGGAGGTAAACAGCAAGTACCTCGCCCATTGCCGCCCCGCGAGGCTGTACATGCCCCATCCCATGCTGTCCCACCCCGTGCTATTCACTGACGGGGAATTCTGGTCTCGAATTCCACGGGATCTTCATCCCGAGTCTGAGATGGAGTGCTTGGACGAGGTGACATGCCGTGGCATCTCATGCCCACCAGGACCAACGTACAAATACCACTTTCTCTTTTAGCTTCTGTCCCCCCGCTCCTCATGATCCTCTGATTTCCCTCTGTCCCACAAGCCGAATTACTGTCGAGACCAAGTCCTGTCTTTCTCTGTCTCTTTCTCCTCTTCTCCAACCAACCCCATTCATTACACCTTGTAATCAGTCCGTCGCCGGCCGACATCCAACAAAGCCCAGCCAAGATGCAGTTCACACTCCTGACCTTTGTCACTCTCTTCGCCGCTGCTCTTGCGGCACCTCTCAAGGGAGAGGACGACTGTGAGTGCCATGTCTAACACTTCTGCTCTCATAAATTACCCCCAGTATGCTGACCACGATATATCCAGCCGTTGCCAAGCGCCAAGGTGGCGGCCAGCCCACCACCTCGCAGGCGGCCATGACCGCCCAGGACGGAAGCGTTGTTGCCTTCAACACAGCTAATGTCTACCTCGACTCTGTCGCCAAGGGCCTGTAAACGGACCAGTTCATGGAACGAGAGAGTGTGAAGGGATGGTTCGAGGGCCGGTTCGAGCATGTCGCAGCAAAGGGCAGTGGAGAGACTTCGGCCTCGCCATGACCGTGAGCTCGGTGACTGGCGGAAGAGACGGGATCTTGTGGTCGGCTCATGTAGCCGCACTAAACCCCATTATTATTGTTAATGGAGCCCTGGGCCGGGCAGCCTGGGGCCTAGATTGCCCCTGCTAGATGGCGTCAAAGAGGAGGATGCAGGAGAGTCGGTGGTCGAGGGCAGTAGGACATTGTGGTATCTTTTTTTAAACCGGCAAATTCACTTCAACACGGTCACTCACGGCGTTGCCCAACCACTCTTCCCAAAAAAATACCACACTCTCGTTTTCATGGCTGAATAGTATCGTGACTTGGTGTTCTGTCTGTCTGACCCACGCCTCCACTCAGGAGGGGTGGTGGTTGGTCTCGGCCGAGCTGCCCAACATGTGTATGTGAACTCGGAGCGCTGTGCTGCGAATCGACTGCTGAGGGCTCGGTCTTCCCGGGATGGATATGTATGCGAGATGAGAAGCAAAGACGAAACAAGGCTTGTTCACTGCTCAGTAGTACCCCGGTGAGTACCAGACGGGATCCCAGGACCCCAGAGTCCCCGGTGCTGGGTTGTGTCGCTTTCTCCCCTGAGCAGGACCACCACCCTCGGCATTCTTCGCTGGAGGACAAGGGCTGTCCTGGTTGGGTCACTCCACACTGAGGTGTTTCAGGAACACAGAACAGTGACCGACGGAGGCGGCTCGTTGATGGGATTGTTTATCATATGATTTCTGGCCCTGTGGTCGGTTTTGGACGAGCCATGTCCGCAAAAACCATTTGCGCTGCAACGAGTGTCCATGAATGAACAAGAGACGATTTAACCACCCGTGGTGGCGCGTGCGAGCAGCCAGAATTGGGAACAAAGGCTGATCGCTGTTTTCGTCATGTGATATTCGCGTCGCCACAGATCGTGTTGGAGTTCCCACGATGGGGTCGGGTCGTCTGTCGCGTCTCTTCTGGCTCCACGTGGCGGGCCCGAGAGCACGGCACTTTGGGGGCTGTCTGGACTCTGGGTGTGTGGGTTCCACTGCAGCTTTTGGCTGCAGGGTCTCATCCGGCAGCGTGCTATTTGCACGATATATGCTTATTTCCTGGTGAAACGTGCATCCTCTATTCCATCCACCTTCTCGGTTGACTCGGACACTCAAAACCCAGAGTAACAAGCTCCTCCTGGTGGACCCCATCAGCCTCACCTTCACTTCATCAACATCTTGAAAAGACACCGGAACATGACCACAACAGGCCACTGGCAGGATTGTGGCTGTTCGCCTCACAACAAGCTGGGAGCGCATATCTATTTTTAGACCCAGGCAGCGAAGCCACTGCACTACTTACATAAGTACTCCGTGCCCAGGGATGCTTGTGCTGTGCTGGACACGCCTTGCAAAATGAGCCTCATCAAGTCGCGCGACTCGGCTGATGAGCGAGTGGCTCAAGCCGCTGTGGATTCGCCGTGAGCCACTGACTCCATCCTCGGAACTTTGCCTACGGACATTCGCTGTCATTTGGGGATTGGCCACCAGCATCCGGCAGCGGAGCGGAGCAATCCTGTTCGCTGCCGTCATCCTGAAGGATTGCGAACGCCGCCTGAGATCTGCATTTTACCCGTCTAACGCAAGACGCGCCAAAAGCTGGCAGAGCCCGCGCTATTGTACCCATTTGCTTGGGCCTTGATGTCCTTTTGGTGTCCTTTGGTGTCCTGAAGTCTGTTGGAGCCAGGAAAAAACGCTAATGGGCTCAGCCGCAATGGCATAGCACTTGTCCTTTGCCCTTTTGGTCGTCGGAAAAGACAACATGAGAGGCCACAAGTCATTCTCGGGCTACACACGCTCATTCATAAAAAGAAGAAAAGGGAATAGAGCACAATTCCGCCCGGGGGCTTGCGCGGCCCCGATGTCAGATATCGTGAAGGTGGAGCCGGCCCTGGTCGCTGGAATCTCAACATGCTCAGAGCGTCTGGTTCTTTGCGTCACTTTTCCCACTGACCGAAGCCCTCCTCTCCATCTGTCATCGCTGAAGAGTCGGCCGTGCTGCCGGACCGCCAAAGCCCTGCCCCCGTGGCTTGGTTCCATCTTCCCGGAAAGTGGCAGCCTGTTGGGCTCGCGCCTCGCCTCAGCACAGTCGTCCAGGCTTCAATTTTGTTCTCCAGCCGGGGGCTCGGTTCTAGTGCGCTGGGCTGTGGGCATCTAAAAGTGGGCTGTGTGCCTTCTTTGTTCTCTCGAAATCTGGGGATGCCATATTCTTAGCAGTGCTACAATCCTTCGTCCTCCTAGACTGCCCCATCCTGAGTTGCTACTGTCACCGCCTTTTATTTTCTTAATCAACCCTTTCACCTGCTGCCGCAAGGCTACATATGTAAATGCCAGGCATTCAACCTCGGCAGTCATATAGATCCGGCACGGCACTCGTTGATATCCCGTGTTCCCACATCCTGCGGCACATCCGATTAAGCTTCTCACGGCATCAACTAGCCTCCATCGCACCCATCATACACCGAACACCGAACACCCATCTCCTGGTTAGGGGCCACGACGATGGCGCACCACCGGGACCAGGCAAAATTTGACCGGGCCCAGTGGCGGCTTATGGCCCTCGTCCCTTCATGGCTGGTGCAGATCTCGCTCTACACCGTCCTCATCGCCCTATCCGCATACCTCCTGGCAAACGCCAAAGGCGTCTCCGATGAAATAAATGGGGCGGCAGTTGCGTGAGTATTCCACGTACGTCCAAGATCAGCACGTTCCCGTATATGCTGACAAACATGTCAGGTGGGAATCCATCAGTATCGGCTTCGCAGGCGTCTCAATATTATGCACAGCATTCGAGATCTTGAGGACATTTGCCGAGGCCCTGACACCAAAGGAGATGGTCGTCTCCAGCCTCATAAAACTTGTGGGGATCATTGTGTCCATGATAATGGGAGGGTTGATGTCAGACACGGACCTCTCCTCATGGGCAACTACCACGCAGGCCATCCACGGTGTTCTCATGTAAGAATAAGCCAACGAGTGCCTCGTGCTGAAGTTTATACTGATGACCGCGCAACAGTATCCCTGTCCTTGCAATGGGCTCATACGCCGCCTGGATTTGGAAGTGTCTAGCTCAATACGACGATTATGACCACCCGGGTAACGTCAAGCCCTTCGGCTTCAAGAGCGACCGCAAGGAAAAGCTCCTCCACTCCCACAACGAGTCCGCTGACTGGGACGTGGAGCTTCGTGGGTCCTGGGCCTCGAGGGAGGTGGTCCTGGGCAACGCCGTCGACATCACATCACCAGCCCCGACAGCACCCTCCGCAGAGTCCGCCGCCTCCGAGACCCGACCGCGGGGGTCCTCGTTTTTCAAGGTCGGCGGGCGCCTCAACTTCAGCTTGACCAATGATGTGGACGCAGCGAACGCGCAGGCCAGCCGAAGCCGGGCCAACTCGTCATCCGCGCTCTTGGGTGGGAGCACCACAGTCTCCGAGTCCCAACCGCAGTCACCCCCGAGCGAGTCAGCCGAGCCGGCTATCCCCAAGAGGCAGTTATCGTATATCTCCGTGACAGGGACGGGGTTGGACCGCCGTGCCTCGTACAACCATACTCGCGACACATCCTTCGATGAATACGTCAAGCAGCACCGCGCAAAACAGAGCCAGGGGTCAATCCGCTACACCAGCGGCAGACGCAGCAGCAGCGCAGCCCTGACCCGCAGCCCGGCGCAGTCAACTGCAGACGGCACCACGGCACAGAAGCAGCAGCAACAGCAACTGGAGTTCAAGAGCGATGTCGACGACGCCGTGGGCTCGGCATTCGGCTGGGGCAAGGGGAGTAGATCGTCGAGTCTGGACAGCGTCATGGCCGGGGGCGAGCCACCCGCCATCGCAGTCGGCTGTGGGGCCGTACCAAGCGCCAAGTCGGTCCGGGACAGTCTCGGACGGGCGCCCAGCGACGGTAGCGAGAGGGGCGCCCTGGGTACCATGCCTGACGACGAAGACGACCACGAGGGTGACAATGGCCCGGAAGGAGTGGACGAGGACAGGCGGCAGAGGAAAGTGAGCGAGGCGGGCCGGGCTCTGCTCGGGGACGGCGATGGGGAGTTCCGCGAGGTTCCGGAGTCGCTGAGGCCCGCTTCGGGTGGCAATACGAGGCCCAGGGCCTTGAGCGAGACGATTCAATTTATTGTGACGCCACCTCCCGCGACACCCACGGAGGAGGGGAACGGCGGGCTCAGGAAGACATGGGGGGCTGCGTACCAGCCATGAGTGAACGAGGTGGACTAGTGATACCCATTTAACAAGCGTGACAAATTTCTTAGTCATGAATATCTATTTTCCAAAGCGCTCCTAATAATGTGGTTTCGCTTCTATTCCGTATATATCCGAGGACATACATGGCGCCTTCATACGGTGGTAAGTACTCAAGACCCAGCGCTTAAAAAGAATATAATGTCGATAACAGTAGTTATAATACAATAGGTGCTTATAGCCTTAGCCTTGCAACACACAGATAAGGCTAAGGGGCACCGTCAACCAGCAGTATAAACACCAAAGAATTGGGCTTATGGCAGTTGCTGATCTCTAAAGTAGCGCCACACACACACACACACACACACACACACCTTTACCTGCCTTACCATGCCTATGCAGTCCTACCATTGATAAACATAAGTTTCATCTACAGCGCTAACTTGAGTGCAAGCTCTATTTGGACTTCAAGCTGATTCAGCTGAGAAATGTCCTCATTGGTGTAAATATGAGGTAGATTGGTGGCATCCAACTTGCCCTTTGATCTGGGACCTCTGAGGAGTTCTCGAAGACTTCTTTGATGAAGCCATCATAGGGATAGGCACGGGTCCCAGAGAAAACATTTTCAGTGTCCAAGTAGAGAGCAACAGTTGCTAATTTGAATAAACAAGCTTGTCTTTGTCCTATCTTAATCACAGAAAGGGGTTGCTTTCTCAATGTACAAGCTAACAAAGATCCTCAACCGTCCGCAAGGCTCACGAATAAGATGCAGACTTGTTATTCCCAAAGAACAACAAAGAATCAAGTCAATAACTCTTTTCAATTGTTATGAACTGGACAATATTGCTGCTCAGATTATACCAGTAAAGGAACTATCTATTATATAAAACCCTGTCTGTTGGCTCCCCGTGACTTACCAACTGCTATGTCTTTTCATCATCGCCAATAATTACACGACTCTTGCCCGATCACCCAAGATCCACTTGAATAGAGAAGCTCTGTACAAAACTCTATTCTAAGGTCTCCACTAACAGCACAAACAGCAGCAAAATGTCGTCCATCTTTCCCACATCCTGGGAGCTGTCTTACGAGCAGCCGGCTGTCGAGGAGATGCCCGCCTTTGTTGAAGCCAAGCCCAAAGGAAAATGCGTTGTTACGTGGAACTGTTGTGAGGTAAGCAGCTTCTAGACTCACTCCTTGCCCCATCCAGAAAATTTTACACCCCATTTCCCACGTATATCACAAAGACTTCACAAGCTGCACAGTTCAAGCAGGCTATGGTCACCCTATGGCCTGCTCCTCTCTGTAGTTATCCCAATGAAGCTCATCCTCTGGTTCTTTGATTGCTAACTCCTGATTCTGCAGTGTTACTCCAATAATGATGAACGTTATCATCCTTACACTTGCAACCGTGCTGGTTGTGGGCATGGTAGGTGTAGCGCCTGCACGACAACGACTACCTGGTTCTAGTACCTACTTAGGTTGGTAATACCTGGGTACCCCAGCCATCTCGAGCCTTAGCACTTGATGCATGAAGAAAACTAGGGGAATTTGGGGGTGGGGGACAGACGGTAAGTCGAACAAAGGGTCCTTGTCTGGGAAAAATGGATTTGGTAGATTGCAATTGACTAGACCGAATAAGATTTATTCATTGCTTGCATCGAATTTGCCCTTTGACATGATCAAGCTCGTGACGAGGAAACTTGTTGAAAGTTTGCCTCGTGCCTCTCTGGTGCTATCTTCCGCCATTGTCCTCTGTTCATGAAACTCTGAACGTGGTCACGGCACGTATATATACATGTGATGTTAGACATTGATGGGGAACCATGAATATAAATTAAGTTCAATGCAGGCTTTTTCTGTATGCTTTGCCAAATATTTCTATGAGCTATGCAGGTGATGGTATCCAGTAATGATTCGAACGGCTGCTCGAGCACACAATGGCAAGGTCTGTTCCTCTCACAGGGTTGCGTTTCTTGCAAACCCATTCATGCCGGCTCCTAGCAGGGGCGGCTTCTCAACAGGGCTCCTCCCGTTCCGATATTTCCACAGCCGGCTCAGCTCCTTCACCTTGACCTTCTCATTCGGCAGGCCCAGCCTCTTCCTCAGCGCGAGGGGGCTCTCCCCGTTATGCATCAGGACCTCCCCGGCTGCCATGGCCATCTCCCCCCGCTCTTGCTCCCCATCCGAATCGTCGTCCGAGCACCCAAGGTAACTGCTCGCGAACGCCTCCCTCTCGTTGGCGCCTGCGTCGCCCGACGTGCCGATGACGATCTCGCTCTCCATGAACTCGTTCCCAACCTCCTTGCAGCCGACAAACCTGCCCGTTGCGTCATCCCGGGCAAGAGGGAACATCCCATCCAGATAGTGCTGGACGAACTGGTGGCCCCCTCGGGCGTCCTTGCGCGAGAACAGCCGCCCTATAAAGCGAGGCATCGACCTGTCGGCCGTCGCTGACGTCGCAAAGTGCAGCACCCCCCACAGGGCCACGAAGTCTGTCGTGTGCGCGTAGTGCTCGATGTGCCCGATGGCCCGCTCCGACTGCGTCGCGGGGTTCAGGTGCGATGTCTCTTGCCTGGCCAGACCGTGGGAGGCGACCGCGCCGGGTCCGTTCGGGGCCAGGCCGCTTGTGCTTGTCCGGATTGGCGGTGGTGGGGACGACTTCGGGGTCGGAGGCCAGCGGCTGCGGTTGCGAGGGGACGCCTTTCCGGTCGTGTCCTCGGCACCCGCCTTGTCCAAGCCTGGTGCGGGCTTTTCGTTGTGGCGCGCCACGGCGTCCAACGACGCCTCCAGCGGCTTCTCCTCCGCCCGGCACTGGGAGGCCACTGTCCGATACGGGTTGTTGAAGTGGTTTGCAGCGTTGCCGAAGGTATAAACCTCCAGCTTGCTCAACAGGTTCTGCGGGAGCTCCTGCAGCAGCCAGTCGAGGACCAGGCCGCCCTCGATGCCCCCCTGCGAGTGCAGGATAAAGACAATCTTGGAATACTGCGGGTTGTACAGCTTCTCCTTGACGATGCGGTAACACACGCGCACGTCGTTGGTGGCATATCCGAGGTTCCGCTGGATCAGGCACTCGATAACGTCAAATATGACGCCGTCGGTCCTGTTGTGGACCCCAATGATAGGCCGCCCGAACGTCAGAGCCAGGCGGTTCAGGCAGCTCTTCATCCAGTGTTCGCCACACGCCACCCCGTTGAGAAAGACCCACTGCTCGTGGGCGAACTTCTTCTGGTTGGGTGCCGCGTACTCGGGGTCCGAGTAGAACAGAACCTCGTTGGCGTTGATGAGAGAGCAGAGGCCCACGTTCACGCCCGCAAAGACAGCCACGATCGACAGGGTTGTCCACAGCGGAAGGATGAGAGCCACGGGCGGCAGGCAGATGATCAGGAGCAGCTGGAGGACGGCCAGGACGAGGTGGATGAAGACACACCAGATGTTGCCCCTGGTGGGTGCCAGCTCAGACAGGTCCCCCGAGTCGAAGGGCTTCCAGGGCAGGATGATGTACGGCAGGGCCCAGATGTAGTAGAAGAAGTAGTAGATGTCCCATAGCAGCAGTCTTGATGGCTTATCCGTGTAGCTGTAGTTGATGACGGTCTGGTTGTCGACCTGGCTGCCGTAGAAGTCGACGGTGCTGGACGAGCCGGTCGACGCTGCAGAAGCCGTGGTGCTGTCGCGGCGGAGGGCAGGCGACCTGAACAGGCGCCGGAGCATGGGCGGGTCGGTGGGCTCCATGCTCGAGGCTGGCGAGGGAGCAGCTGGATGGAGCCAGGGCTTGATGGCGTCGAGAGAAAAGGCCCAGGCGACGAGTGCAGATAGGAATAGGAGAAATGCCAGCACGCAGAACAAGAGGGCGGAAATCATCGAGACTGGTACTCGAGAGAGAGAGAGCGCGAACGAGGTCGCCTTTGTATTGTCTACTGCCGACGTAGGTCACAAGGAGGGCTGCTGTCTCGGATGGAGTGAACACCACATTCTCGCAACGATTTGCAGCCTGGCTGCTGACCACCTGCAGACGGCGCATGCACAGCCTTCATCAATGAGCCTCCTCCATCCAGCCTCCATCCAGCCCATGGAGCCAGGGAGTCAGGCAGCCCACAGCACGGCACAGTCAGACCGCGGACAATGCCCGCTGGAGCTGGATGCTACGGTAGCACAATCCTGGCCTGGTCTGTGGCAGCTTGCCAGCATGCCAGCCTGCTTGCACGATGCAGGCTGCAGATCGTGCTCTGCTCGCCTACCCCTAGGTACGTCCTTTTTTTGGGAGTGCGGGCCAATAGATGCCAGCCTTCATTTAACAGAGCCGGGCCACAGTTCCCCCTATATTTTCCTAGCGCTGACCCATCGGCTGCCCGTTGCCGTGTGCGAGATCTGGGCTCTCGGCTCGCCTCCGTGACGGGTCTGGGAACGAGCCGTCGTGGTAATAACTTAAACAAGGGTCCAGACGGCGTTTCGGAGCTGAGTCGAGCCAAGACGTCATGTCGGTCAGCGGTTCACCCCAGGTGGCCCCCCTCCCTTTTCCACCAGAGGTTGTTGCCCGTTCGAGTCTAGCCTGGCCGTCACAGGCTCTCTTCCCCACGAGCTAGGCCTGGTAAGGGCCAACGCCTGAGAGTCTAAGTCACCACCATAGTCACAAAGACTACACACTACCGGCAAGACAAGCCCACGGGACAATGTCTTGCGCTATGTATTTAGACGGGTTTGTCAATTTGCGATGCTCAAAACAGCACCCGAGATCAGCTCGATGTACCTGGCCCGCCAAATGTACTATTGTAATATCCTTACGCACTATAGCGGCCAAGCACCGTGAGTGACGCAAGTGTGGATACCTCAAGCTAGCACTTGAGGCATACACGCTCCAAAGCACAAGAGGTATATTGCACCATCACCATGTCTTTCGGCTCCCGGCTGCCCGCGTCTATCCATCTCTATTCTCAAGGACCAGAGAGTAGCTCGACAACAGAAAGTTCGCCAACAGACAGTCCGCTCTAGGAGCTTCTCGGGAGGAGCATGGGGTATTTGCTAGATAGACCTGCTCAGCATGAGGGAACGCCGGCTGGTGGGCGTGGAGGTAACAAGATGTAGACAGGAGCTAGACTTTGACGTGGAACGTGCTCTTGCTTCTAAATTTAAATAACTGCGCGTCTTGGGAAATGTAGTTGGTTAAAGTTTATATGTTGCATGTGGGAGCACTTGAGGATAAACGGGAATGTAAACTTGAAACCCATATTAACCACAGGACTCCCAAATCATAAATTGTCTTGAGACTTGGCTGAATAAACTAACCTAGGGCACCTTTAAATCAGCTTCTTTGTCGTCATCTTATCTTCCTCATACCGCGCAACTGTAGAACTTGTTGGATGGAATTTGCGTCCAGAAGACCAAATAGATCAAATTAACATAACAGGCAGGTATGGAATTTGCAAATGGCCCAGGGTCAGGTTACTTAAGTACCTAGGCGTATTCAGGCCGTGGCTTCCGATGTCTACAGGTGCCGACACTGTCACACGAGCACACGTACCTCGATGCGCGGAGCTCACACACACGAGAGTTGCCTTTCACAATGTCCTCCCCATGCGCAAGCACACCTGGGCATCATATGATGGGCCCTCAATAAGTGCTGCCTCGAAACTATATTGGCCCGCTCATGATAGTCCGAGTCAATCAGAGAGTTCATATGTTGGTGAGGACAAACGCACACAAGGCTCCCTCACTGAAGATAGGCATTGGACCTCAAAACACTGGCCGCGTCTACACAACCCGACAGAGTCTGACCTGCTTACTGTGTCCTAGATGCGTGAGCAAACCTACCAAATGCGAACAAGTGTGCCAACTGCCTAAACAAGCCTAGTGTGATACCGTCCGGCCACTTAGACGACCTGGAAGGTCGATAGGTTGCACGTATGCATAGGGATGTTGTTTGGAGGCTGCAGCGCTTAATTGCAGCTGCTCACATGCGCAGTTGCACGGCAGATCCGCGCAATGCAAGACCGCAGTAGCAGAGCCATGGATGTTGCCTTGTGTCTGCCTAACCACGGGCAAATAATGTACAGCCAAAGACCGACAGCCTTGAGAGTTCATGATGTCTTTTCTTCTTTGCTTCTTTCCAAATTTATTTCTAGGCTGTGAGACCTGCCCCGTTGTCCTCAGACTTTGCCCTGTCTTTCACCACGCATTGTCATCTTCCCCACTCCGACTTTATACCCCTTCGAAAGTAAAACGGAAAATTTCCTGATCTCTCTGTACGGCAGCCATGGACGTATTTCAGTCCCTAGGAGGCATATCCTCGGTGGCGATCGGCCCAATCCTGATGATGAATTGGCGGAGGATCGTGGCCTACTTCCCGGCCGTGGAAAGACTCATCAACGGGCTGGACTCGGAGAAGCTGCTCCACGCGCTGCTGGGAACGCGAACAGGCCTCTCTTTTCTGGGCGTGCTGGGCTCGCTCACAGCCGCCCACTTTCTGCACCTGGCCTGGAATGGTGCCTGGCGTATCGTGATGAGCACCTTCTACACAAAATGCTCCCTCTCGGAACATAGCAATATCCATGATCAGGTTCTGAGCTGGATCACCAAGAACCCCAAGTTCCAGTCCGCCACAACCGTCAAGATTATGGACCGGAGCGATGACAAGGTGGAGGTCTCGGATACAGAGGACACCATTGACATCGAAAGAATGGTGAATGAGATTGTATGTGAACGCATTGGCGAGGCCGACTTGTGTCCGGGATGGACGAGCTGATGCCGTGTTAGCCACCGACTTTCCGGCCCGAGATTGGCCAGGTCCGCTTCTGGCACAGAGGTGCATACTTCTGGATGTACGAGCGCAAGGACAAAAGGCTCGAGTACCACGGCAAGGAGGCACCAGACAACTGGCTGGATATCTACTGCTTTAGCTGGAACCGAAGCACAGGTGGGTCCTGTGATCTTTCCCGCGGCCACACACTGGCCTATATCCAGAGACAAGTCAATGGATCTGCTGACATTCTACTAACCAAATCCAAAGCGCCGCTGAAAGATTTGCTCGTGACTATTTTAAAAGAGGATGCTGCGGAGAATTGCGGCAAGACGCTCATATGGAGTCCGGTGCAGCACCCGCATGCCTTCGGCAACACCCCTTTCTGGAACCGGTCTCAATCACGTCTAAGGCGGCCCTTGAGCACTGTCATATTGAACCAGCAGCAGAAGGACACAGTTGTCGACGACATCATCAACTTCCTCTCGCGCTCTGGGGTTATGTGGCACAAGGAGAAAGGATTGCCTCAGTGAGTGGTGACACCCCTCAAACACGACATTGAAGATGAGCTGCGGCTTCGGACAGCCATGCTAATGCGCGGGTGCAGTCGTCTGGGCTATCTATTCAGTGGCCCTCCTGGCACGGGTAAATCGTCTCTCGCCTTCGCGCTTGCTAGCAACTTCGGCCTCCCGGTCTACATGATCAATCTGTCTGCCCCGGGACTCAGTGATAACGATATAGAGTCGCTCTTTTCCAGCGTGCCCCGCCACTGCATTGTCCTTCTCGAGGATGTGGACGCCACTCAGCCTCTGTCACGGAAACTGGCAGTGTCGAAGGGGACTAACGAGGAGACTGCCTCCCAACCTCCGCCGCTAGACTTGGATGAGGAAGACATGCCAATGATGCCATTGCCGCCGGGTCGTAGGGGCAAGCGTCCGGGCGAGAGGCGCGGCAACACGGTCACCCTGAGCGGCCTCCTCAACGCCATTGATGGAGTTGCAGCATCGGAAGGTAAGCTCGTCTAGTTCCCCCTCTCTAAGAAAATTACACAGTAATGAATTTGAGCCACGGGCAAGGCTCCATTTTTTATTATTGGATTCAGGAACAATGCTCACGGGACGATATATAGGGCGCATTCTGATCATGACAACAAACCACATCGAGAATCTTGACGAGGCGTTGATCCGAACGGGGCGGGCTGACCGCATTGTAACATTCACGTACGCCACCAAGCAGCAGGCGGGAGAGATGTTCTCAAACGCCTACACGGGCGCCCGCTGGGGTCATCACATGTCACGCGAGGCCGTGGCGCGGCACCCGGAGATGGAAGAGTGGGATGACAGCGACATTCCACCGCTGGCAGCCGAGTTTGCGGAGCGCATACGCGGGGGCGAGTTCAGCCCGGCCCTTCTACAGCAGTATTTCAAGGACTTCCGCGCGGAGCCCCGCCGCGCCGTCCGCGAGTTGGGCTCCTGGATGGGGGACCCCCGCGCGTACCGGAAGCCTTCTCTCAGGCACGAGCACGCCGCGGCTGTGGCCACTCCAGGTGACGCGGGAGAGAAAGCGTCTGAGCACAGCAACGGCGTTGCTGAAGCCTCGAAGGGACCTGAGTAGACATCTCCCTGGGTTGACCCGGTTGACTCGAATAGGACTGCCTTGACCACAGCTCTAGAGATCGGGCTTGGTCTCGAGAGGCATCTCAAAGTGTACCAGAACCGTGGTATAGCACCTCACTGGCCCAAAAAGATAGAAGGCGTCTCTTGTAGCTAGTACTGCATAGAATGGATAGTTGGAAGGATTTGGATCCTTAGCTGCCTCGTCCTTTATGATGAAAAAAGATGATAAATTAAATGGTTCGTAGTCCTAGAAATAGTTGGATTCTAGGTGTCAGCCGGAGTCCTTGAATCTCATTGGGCCTCTTTCCAAAACCCCAACATTCTCTGCCCCAAGTGCGTGCATAAATCCACAGTGGGCGTATTTGAGAACTACGACTCTGGATGCTCAAGTGGGCACAATACCCGTGGACGTTCAAAAGACAAGTCCTAAGGTATATGGTATTAAAGTAAATCCTCGTTTATTGAATTCAATACACACAATCCGTATGAACGAGACAAGGAGAGAATAATCGATACCGAAAACCTGTTGGCTGAATTTTCATCCACCTTCGGGACATTGACGACTTATGACGACGGGAAGGCCTCGCCCCGGACCATCTGTTTTCGGTCGGCGGCCCGGATGTTGTATTTTTAACAGGCTACCACAGCCTCACCTTAGTTCCACTTTGCTCTGGAGATGACTGACAAGGCGACTGTGAGCTGGGGACCCCGGGGGGGGTCTGTGGCTAGGGGTATGTATCCTGAGAGTACATCGTGAAACTTGGGGACGTGACGGGATATTGATATGTGCAGAATTTTGTTTGTTGAGATGACGAAAATCAAGCAATGGTAAAGTCACTTAGTGATGGCTTCATTCGCTATATTGCCAACAACTTCATCACACTCTTCCGTCTTTCCAACATCAGCGTCTTTCATTTGAACCTCACATGATCACTCTCACTCATTTTCGTGTTACACTAGTTCCTATAAGAGGCACCAGTAATAGCAAAAACTTCAATGCTTTCACCATGTCTCTTAGTACTGCTTTCCCAGCCTTGCTGTCATGGTTGGGTCCGCCTTTGCCGCATCAGTCAAGCTCACAAACGCCAAATCATCGACAACGGTGCTGGGGCTTCTTTCCCCGATACCGTGCCGGACAGCGCAGTCTGAAAGCTGATCACCAAAGACGCACCGCACCTCCGGGTTGCCGACGGCTGCGTTCTGGTCCTGGCGGTTGACTGTATGGGCAACGTTGGGCAATCGAGCTCTTTTCTCAAGGCACATAGGAGGTGTCAAGACTATCAGGGGGAAAAAAGGGATACTCGTCTCTAACATCCCATTGTTGCAGTGACGGTTTGAAGCCAACGGGCAATCCGTCTGGTGAGAGACTAGTCAGGGCCAGGCCCACGCGAGAGCAGCGATCTTCAGGGACAGGTTCGCCATCATGTACGCATGCCGCATGCCGCATGCCCAAGACAGACCCATCAGCCCACCTCGGCCACCGACACGTTTGGAACAACGCCTTGAGTATGGCTCTCAGATGACAACGACAAGGCGTCGCTGCTGGTGACAATAATCTCATAGAAGTCGTCCTACCAGCACAGCATCACTTCGGCCCTCGACGCGGCTGCCCCGCTCTTCTACTACGATTCCAAATGGCCCAAGATGTACGAGCTGTACTACGACACGCTCAAGGGTCAACAGGAGAGCCTCTTTATTGTGGACTTGCCTTTGGTCGCGTGGGACAGCCCCCCGACTACGATTCAGAAGGCCCTCGTCGCTGCCGACTTTGGGGACGATGAGGTGGTGCTATTCACTGATGCCCACTTCAACGGCACTTTATGATGGGGCCTTTGGTTCGGGGCATGGCGTTGTGGCGTGCTGAACTGGAAAATTTGGGGAACTGAGCTCATCCTGGAGAGAGGGATGAAGGGGGGGGGTGTATCCAGATTTGATAAATTCATAGTGGATATCGCTGAATGTGGCGCTAAGCTATGTTGCTGTCAGTATTCCTAGACTTGTTGACGTCCCTGATGTGAAGCTCGGTCGACCGAGGGTGGGAAGTTCATGTTCGTGAGCGAGACATGGACCAGAGGGGACCCTACTCACGGTAGACCATGGTCGACTCTGAGGAACGACCGCAATTTATGCTCGATCCTTGGATGGGTTCGGGCCCCTTCATCGCCATGACTGGCCCGTCTCAGGCGTCTCAGGCAACATACTTGGTATGGCTACCAGTGACCAGGACCTTCTTGTCCTCGCCTGGCTTGACGACCTTCCTGATCTCCATGCTCGTGTAAGCCAGATTCCTACCCAGCTTGTTCAGCCAGCACTCCACCTCGACCGTGTCGCCGACCTTGGCACTGGCCACATAGGAGATGTGGATGTCTGTCGAGACGCCTGTCTTGTGGCCGCCACTCTTTGCAACGATGGCCATACCGGCGGTGAAGTCCACAATAGCGGCAGAGGTGGTGCCGTGGATGCCACCGAGCGAGTTGACATGTTTTCCCTCCAGGACCAACTGGCCAATGACGCGGCCATCTGAGGTTGCCGAGACGAGCTTGATGGTTGGGATGAGGATGTTGTATGGCTGGGAGGTCGTGATCTTTGTGGCCCACACTTGTTCAACATGGTCGGACACGGAGACCGGTGCGCTGGATGGTGTTGAGCCAGCCATGTCTGTTGCGAGGCTGAGATGTGTTGAGGCGGTAGGCGCAGGTGAGAAAGGGAGAAGGGTTTGAGTCTGATCTGCCTTTGCACTGGACACCTGTTGGAAAATTCGAGACAGACCAGAATGTGCAGAACAGGCCAAAGATGCGCCGACAGAATATAAATAAACAACTACTATGAAATCAAGCGACCAATAAGCAGATGGGCCACCGTCCTGACTCAATCCCACGACGTTCGTCTCTGTTGCAGGTGGCTGTATTACTTTGTACTCCGTACCTGTGGCTTTGCTGTGGCTCTGCCCAGCCAGCCTGGACTGGCCAGGGGTCGGTCTGTCTGTTCCTGATGGGCCGGGACAAGACCAAGCTAACGCCCAGCTCCAATGGCGGGGGTGGGGCCTCCCGGAGTCTTCCTCTGACGTACTACCAGGCGGACAGGCGAGCAATGGGCACCCCGCGGCTCGGCCAGTAGACTACAGTTGTAACCTAACGCAACCCCTCCCATCTGTCACTACTGCTACCTACTTAGACCACAAACAGCTCCTTGGAAGGCACCGCTACAACTCGTCTTCCCCACGCCCTCCGCCTCACTCTCTTCCCCCAACCTCTCACAAGCTGCTCGACGACCCTCTCCATCCTCCCCGCCCCCTCCCTCTCCTCTGGTCATCCTGTCCCATCTCCAGCCTGTCACTGAACTCCCGTCCTTCTTTTTGACCAAGTGCACAGACAACCAAAAACATCCACCGCAGCAGCCATGGCCACCGTCGAGCACTGCCTCTACTGCTTCGAGTCCCTCGCTGCCAAACTCGAGGGCCGCAAGGGCATGGACCTGGGCGACGTCCAGACCTCCTACGCCAAGTACGCCGCCTCTGTCGCTTCCGACGATGCTGCAGCCGGGGAAGCCAAGCCCGGCAAGCCCGCCAAGAAGCTCCCCGCCCTCCGCCGCCTGGTCGGCGGCTCCAGCTCCTCGAGCACGTCCTCCTCCTCCTCCCTCCAGTCCCCCGAGTCCGCCTCCGGCAGCTCGAGCTCCACATCCCTGTCGGCGAACACCTCGGCGACCTCCGTGGCCGGCGGCGCCCCCGAGCCCGTGACCGACCCGGACGCCGAGTACCCGCTCTTCGTCACCTGGAACAAGGCCGCCGGCAGCGGCGCCGAGTACCACCTGCGCGGCTGCATCGGGACCTTTGAGGCCCAGCCCCTGGCCGACGGCCTGTCCTCGTACGCCGTGATCGCCGCCCTCCACGACAGCCGCTTCAGCCGCGTGTCGGCGCGCGAGCTGCCCTCGCTGCAGGTCGCCGTGACGCTGCTGACCGACTTTGAGGACGCGGACGACATCCTCGACTGGGAGCTGGGCACCCACGGCATCCGCATCTCGTTCCAGTGGGAGGGCCACCGCCACGGCGCCACCTACCTGCCCGACGTCGCCACCGAGCAGGGCTGGACCAAGGAGCAGACCCTCGTGAGCCTCATGCGCAAGGCCGGCTGGGAGGGCAGGCGTGACCGGTGGAGCGAGGTGGCTGATGCCGGATCCATGAAGGTCGTCAGGTACCGTGGCGACAAGGAGCAGCTCGTCTTTGACGAGTACAAGGCGTGGAGGGACTGGGCGGACGAGCACTCGGTTCGGAAGTAGGCGGGAGGCGAGGCATAGAGCTTACACTATCTGTGTGGTCCTGGAGACGGCGTACTTGGAAGCGGGGCGGGCTTAAACTTGGTAAAGGGTATTTATTCTCAGGGCGTCTCGGTACATCTACGGCAAGCCAGTCAGGCTGGGCAGGGGACAACATGGGCCCAATAGTAATTGGTAGAAGGGGGGCTCTTCCCTTTTCCGATATGCCAGTCAAGACGTGAGTTGTATAGATGCAATGGTCTCGGGAGCAGTTCAGCACATGAATGATCAGAATCTGGTTTATGATGTGACAGCGTTCGCATACGAAAGCCCGAGCCGGAAATCTATTGACGCGAGCACACTCATCACCGGCTCATTTATATGGCCAATACTTCACCCTCAAGCAAAACCTCAACACGCGGGGAAAAGAAACACAACGAGCAACAGTAAATCCAAGTATGCCAAGGAGCTGTGAGAACCGTACCTCGCTCAGCTCGGCGAATGACCTTTGCTGCGCCTGACCGTCCGAAACGCCTGGCCACAAAACCGGAGGATATAATGGCTTCAAGGGAAGGGAGGGGGATATGGTGAGAAACAACCCTCCAGAGCAAAGATTGCATAAACACGTATACAGACAAAGGAAACGGGGGAAACTAATGAGGGGCAAAAAAAAAAACAACCGAGAATAAACAAATCGACCAGGACGAGATCGAGCGGGCCTTTGGGCCGTACTGGGGAAGGAAGACGACCAAGTGTGAAAACAACCCATTTGAGAACCAGCCCAGCCGGGCCAAACCAGAATTAAACACACCCACACTTTTTTCTTTGCTCACCATCCGCAACACCAGACATTGCTCGTCTTCCTCACTCTTGGCTCGAGCCCTCGTTGCCTCCATCGTCCTCCACGGTCTCTCCGGCCTCTCTCTCACATCACCAACACCTGAGCTTCCTCCAGAACCCGCCTCCCGACCTCCTCTCGTCCCCACCTTCCGTGGCGCCATCGTCTGGCTTCTCGCTGTTCCCATCGCTCCTGGGGAGCGGGCTGAGGGGCTTGGTGGCGCCCCTCCTGTCCAGCTGCCCCGCGCCGCCGCCGCCTGCGCCCGAGACGCCCATCTCCGCCAGGCGGCGGGCCTCGACAACCCTCCGGACGATAAGGGCGAAGGTCTCCTCGATGTTGACCTCGAGCCGGGCGCTGGTCTCCATGAAGCCGCAGCCGCGGCGGCGGGCCCAGTCCAGCCCCGTGGCGGCGCTGACCTGCCTGCTCTCCTGCAGGTCACACTTGTTGCCGGCGACGATCTTGACGGGGGGTACCGTCTTGGCCGAGGAGCTGCTGCCGTACTCGGCGGCGGGGCTGACGCCGGCCTTGCGGGCGCGCTGGGCGTTGTCCATGCGCGTCTCGGCCTCCATGTCGATCAGGTCGTTGAAGTAGCCCAGCGAGTCGAGCGAGTCCTTGACGGTGATGTCATAGACCATGAGGAAGGCGTCGGCGCCCAGGTTGGAGGTGGCCCACATGCCGCGGTACTCCTCCTGGCCGGCGGTGTCGGTCAGGTGTAGGTGGTATATGGCGCCGTCGATGCGGCGGGTGATGCTGTAGCTGTCCTCGATGGTGGGGTCGTACTCGGAGGTCCACTGCGACCGCACCAGGCGCAGGGTGATGGAGCTCTTGCCGCAGCCGCCGTCGCCGCAGATGGTTATGGAGATTGGGATTGGGGGTTGGTTCTGAGCGGCCTGCTGGTGGGCGTGCGTCGTGTTCTGCGAGGCCGCCCGCGGGCGGTTCGCGGAGCTTGCTGAGGAGGGCATCTTGCGCAGCGGCGAGTGTGAGAGGTTGGGCGAGGCGGCGGCGGCGGCGGAAGCGGCAGGGGCGGGGGGCGTGAGGGTGGAGCGGTGGGAGAGGTAGAAGGGCTGGTTATGCGACGAGGAGGAGGGGGTCGTCGGGACCAGGATGGAGTGCTTGCGCGAGATGGAGAAGAGCTCGTTTGCCGCCAGATTGCCGTCGATATCGGGGGGTGTTGGCTATGTGGGGGTTTTTGTGGTGTCGAAGGGACAGGATCGGGTTCAGGCACCAAAGCGAGATGGCATTCGACCGGCAGGAAAGACGTGCGCAGGAGGCGTATTTGACAAATGGTGATCTGACCCAAGGGAGAGGAGAACGAATGTCTTGTCGGTCTGCTCGCTGCAGGCAGAACCGTCTGGATCGACACCGGGCCGAGGAGTGTTCCAAGCTTCAGGAGGAGGCAGGCGATGGGTGGGTGGGTATCGAGAAAAAGAGCGGTTCGAGGGATGGTGGGACGAAGAAGAAAAAAAGAAGCAATGGGCGTCGCGTTGACACGGAGAAGACAAGTGATGGTCGTGTGGGTTCTGTGGATGCCGAGCAGGAGATGCGATTGGAAACTGTTGAAACTGATGAAGCTCGGGTCGCGATGAGGCAGATAGGAAGTCCCGACTTGCAAGCTCCCTCGAGTGTCTGTCGTCGTGCTGCGGGGTGGGGCCGACGGCGAGCGCTCCAAGCAATAACAAGAGGCGAATGAGGAGAAGCGAAGGAAGGTAGCGCAGAAGGCAATCGATCGGCTAGTGTGTGCTGTGGTGCGTGGTCGGGAGGTGGTGTATCCGTTCCAGCCAGGCAGATCCAATAATACTAATAATTGATAATGACCACAACGGCAACAATAATTAAATAACAACAACAACAAGAAGAAGAAGAAGAGGCGAGACAAGTGCGCCGGTGGCCGGTGGTCGGTGGGCAGCAGCGGCAGCAGCAAGCAGCTAGCTAGTTGTGCTCGAGCTGTGCAGAGCTGGGCATGGCGGGATGGGGGGTGTCGGGCAGGACTGACGGCAGGTGAGGCGAGGGAACTGGAAAGAAGAAACGCTCACTTGTATCTAGATGTACTGTGCAGCTGTTCTTTTCGTCTCGTTAGATTAATCGTGCACTGCTGCAGCAGCACATTTGGATTGATTACCCACTCTGGTGCCTTCCCCGAGATATGACAGGAACTAAACGGGAAATATGCTCGTGCACCGGTGGCCAGGGGGGGTATGGGGCGGGCTTGTGGGTGGATGTGGGTGGGTTGTGAGTGGGTGTGCGGTACCAGAGCAGATCTCGAGGTGTCAAATAGCAATCTTGTGTCTGCAGGCCCGTCAAAAGATTGCAAGCATGGGCCGACCAACACTTGCTCTAGCCCGGGTCATGCGTGTGATGTGTGATGAACTACCACGCTGCCACGCCGCAGTCCAATAACAACCAGAAAAGAATCAAAGAATCAGAAGAATCAGAGATGCAGACATGGCATCGGCCGACTTTTCCCATCCGTGCTCGTCTCCTCCTCCTCCTTCATCCCGTTCTTCTCCCACCCATCCACTCATCCACCAATCCACCCATCCACCCCTTGGCCCCACCACTTCGCCCCTCACCCACGGACTCGCTCGAGTCCACGGGGCTGTCCCTGCAGCACGCAAAATAGCACAGGACTTGCCGTGGAATGAATCCGGATGATACGATCAATTTGGGGTTTGCCCAACACCTCCTGTCCGTCCTCCCTCCGTGGCCACGCGAACTGATTTTTTTTCTCCGTTGTATTTTTGGCCGTCGGCGAGTCGTCTATTCGCCCATGGCCCATCGTACAACGTCCGTTCCCTCCTGATGCCACGGTCACCCTGTAACCTTGCAATTGGCGAACCTTGATTAGTTGTCCTTGTTGGTTTGCCATCGGCAGGGCCTGCCTCATGGCCAGATGGCCTGCCTTGCCTGCCTGCGGTGGGTGGTGAGGCAGTGAGGGTGCATGTGTGATGAGACTACACGGTACTACTGTATGATATGCCATTGGCGCGTGCCTCTCTTGCACACGAGCCAGCCTCTGGTCGCCCATCGTCTCAACCTCATCCCGTCCCATTCCGATTTGTTGGCACTCTGCCTTTGCTCGCTGCACCCTTGGCTCCCTCCCACCTGCAACAGACAGGCAGTACCATGCGTATCTGGGTGGCACGGCGTGCGGGACAAGTCTTGGTGTGAGAAGTGTGCAGATTCTGTTACCCCTATTTTGGGTTGGGGTTTCCTAATTCCTAATTTTTTTTTCTTGCATTTCATTTCTGGACGGCTCTGCAGTATGTATCAAATATAAGGCTCCGGCCCATCCTCTGCGTGGAGCATGGGATCGACGGCCCGGCTCCTCAACACGACCCCATTCCCCTTTATTGGCACACGTTACTCGGCGCGAGCCCATCTTGTTGATGGGATCAGCCCTCCGCACAACCTTGAAGGGGGGCCACGTCGTTCCCACGTGTGGCCAGGGGGCTGTCGAGCCGCCTACGCCACGCCCGCACACACTTGACCAATGCTGGAGGCTGTCCCCGGGCCCTAGTAACGGCCGTTAAGCCGAACACTTCTAGCTCGCTCCAGTCGCCTAACTACTTAATAAGTAGTCTACGGAGTAGATACTTGAGTCGACTGCGCTGCGCTGACTGCATGCAGTCTGGCTGTCTGCCCACCCTTCTCTGCCACTCTAGCGTGAAACAATCCCTTTCGACGTGCGTAGTGGTTCATCTAGATGCGCTATACCACGCAGTAGCACATCGAGGGGCAACCTTCTGCCTTGTTAGCTGCAGAAGTTCGTCCCATATCCACTCTCCGCGACTGTTTCAAAACAGCACTGCTATTGCCGTCTCCTTGTGGCGTACGCGGGCACTCGACCGTCCACTGACCGGTCACCTCCTGAATCCTCAGGGAGCAAGAGGTGAGGACTCATCCACGGCACCTTTGATGCTCAATTTGCGAGACCGATGAACCAATTGATGGCTCCGCTTGGACCGAGCCAGGCACGGCTCTGACGAGCTGTGGGTTGGAACGGTGGGTGGTCTTCAGGGTTAGGGGGCAATCTGCCCCTACCGCTCAAGTAAGAGGTCTCCCAATGCAGCCCGGACATACAAGCCAGAGGCTACGTGCGGCTCTATGTTTTCTTGCTGTAGATTGTGTGTTCTCCTCTCGATGAATTTGATCCCTAGAGTCTTAGGCCAAGTCCCCAGTATGGTGTGCTGTAACAATTGCTGCCCTCAAATGATCCCCATGGGACGGTCTAGACGCCAAACTCGCCTCCGATACAGGACCTGACCCGTCATTCGCTGCCATCCTTGCCGGCCAGACGAGCAGGATCTGTGGCCCGGTTGAGAAATCATTCACTTCTGGTCGTTATCTCCCAGAAGCTGTGAGCCACGAAAGATTCTCGACACTTTTGAGATGGACTGGAACAGCCAACAGCCCACCTCTGGGGCGGGCAGAGCAGACGAGGTTGCCGAAGTAAGCACGACTTCTCCGAGCCACACAGCCCACCAAGCCGCAGACCATCCGTCGCTGACACATCACAGCTCATCGATGCGGTGAAATCCCTCATAGTGCCCTTCGTCAGGGAAGCAGACGACAATGCGCACATCAGGGCCGCCGGAGGGGACGCTCAGGCGGCATCACGGCTTGGCAACGCCCTCATCAGCGGCGACCTGGTCCCCGCCAAGGACCTCCACCAGCACCTACGTGATATCCTACCGTCGGACGAGGGCCTCGGAAAGGATGGCCTCACCGCCGCCATCTCGCAGATCCTCAGGTTCAGCGTCAACACCTGGGACCAGGGCTTTCTCGACAAGCTGTATAGCTCGACCAACGCGGTCGGCGTCGTCACCGAGATGCTCCTGGCTGCGCTGAACACGAACCTCCATGTCTACTCCGTCTCGCCCGCCCTGACCATCATCGAGAAGCTCACTGCCAAGAAACTGGCCGGGCTGTTCGGCTTCGATGGCCCGCACGCTGGTGGCGTCACCATCTCCGGAGGCAGTGCGTCAAACATGACATCCCTCGTCATCGCCCGGTCTACGCTTTACCCAAACACCAAGGCTTGCGGCAACGGCGTGTATGAATTCGTCGTCTTCACCAGCGAGCATGGCCACTACTCGGTGGAGAAGGCCGCAATGACGTGTGGCATAGGCAAGAGCAATGTCTGGCTGGTCCCGGTGGACAGGGCCGGGCGGATGATCCCCGCGCGGCTCGCAGCCATGGTCCAGCAGGCTCGCAAGCAGGGCTTTACACCTCTCTACGTGAACGCCACCGCCGGGTCTACTGTCCTCGGCTCGTACGATCCGCTGGAGGAGATCTCTGCCATCTGCAGGGCTGAGGGGCTTTGGATGCACGTCGATGCCTCCTGGGGCGGGCCCGTCGTTTTTTCCGCGCAGCACCGCCACAAGCTCAATGGCTCACACCTCGCGAACTCGGTGACGGTGAACCCCCACAAGATGATGAACACTCCTGTTACGTGCTCCTTCCTCCTGGGGCCGGACATGCGCGTGTTCCACAAGGCCAACAGGACTGACGCAGACTACCTCTTCCACGGCGATGGCGCGGACGGCGACGAGGTCTACGACCTTGCGGACCTGACCCTGCAGTGTGGCCGGCGGGGCGACAGCCTCAAGCTCGCGCTGAGCTGGGTATACTACGGACCCAGGGGCTTTGAGAGGCAGGTTGACCACGCGTTCGACATGGCAGCATACCTGGCTGCACAGATCGAGACCAGGGAGGACTTTGCATTGGTCACGGAGACGCCTCTGCCATGCCTGCAAGTATGTTTTACCTACAGGTATTCAGACGTCGCAGAGGAAAACACGACCAGAACAGCCGAGATGGTCAGGAGGTTGAGAGGCCGGGGCTTCATGATCGACTACGCCGCGTTCAACGGCTCGAGGAAAGATGTGCCCAAGGGAAGCTTCTTCAGGGTCGTGGTTAACGTGCAGACACGGAGGGAAACCTTGGACGGGCTGATCACGGCCTTGGAAGGAGTCGGCCGTGATCTCGGCCCATGATATGGCACAAGGTGTCGTGCTTGGATCGATCGTACAGGCCAGGAAACACATTCCGATGAGGCACTTGAGCACTTGAGACAAGGAGGACATAGAGCACTTACCCATGGGTAGACACCTTTCTTCATACACACTAGACTGCAGCGACGGCTTTAGCTCCCCTAGGAAAAGAGTTCAGGGTTGTGATAACGATAGCGATAACGATAACATCCCCGGACCAAAAAGTTTCGACAACCATCAACCACTGACACTTGAGCTTTGCGCGACCAATTGCAAATACGAGCAGCGCCGCAAAGATGGCTCGAGACAAGAAATCAAAGAGACAACTCATCCGCGACGAGAAGAAGGCCAAGAAGCGGCAGCGAGAGGTCGAGAATGACGAGACAAAACAAGAGAGAAAGCGCCAGCGCGCCGAGGCGGCAGAGGCCGATGGCGGCCACGGCGCTGCCGGCGACGACGAGGACTACAACGGTGTCGCGGAACACATGCAACACCTCGGTGGCGGCGGTGGTCCATCAGCAGAGCCAGAGCGTGAGTTCTTTGGCATGCTGACCGACGAAGAGCAAGAATACTTTCGCAGCGCCGACGAGAAGCTCGAGACCAACGACTTCGAATCCGACGAGGACAGGGGATACTTCCTCCAGAGCATATACACCGAGGCAGTAGGCAAGGAGCTGAAGCTCGCGAGCAGCCAGTCCTGCTCGAGGCTGATGGAGAGGCTGATACTGCTGAGCAATACGAAGCAGAAGAAGCGCCTGTTCGAGGCCTTCGCTGATCATTTCGTCTCCCTGGTGACCCATCGATTCGCGAGTCACTGCTGTGAGAAATTGTTCATACAGTCTGCACCTGTGGTAACCAGGGAGCTGAGCGGCAATATTGAAGAGGAGGAACCCCAAGAGAACCAGGTCCAGGGCGAGGCCGAGGCCGAGGCCGAACAGACCGGGACGAAGGCATCGATGGAGAGTCTGTTCCTGTACACGCTGGACGAGCTCGAAGCTCACCTGTCCTACTTGCTGTCTGACAGATTTGGGTCGCATGCCCTCCGTGTACTACTTGTGGTCCTGTCCGGGCGACCGCTGGACCAGGTCTCGACCAAGTCCCTGCTGCAGAGCAAGAGAAAAGAGCACATCTCCGTGCAGGGCGGACGGGCCGAGACGGATGAGATGACCGGGCAGACCAGGGTGGTGCCAGAGTCGTTCACTATGGCAACCCAAATGATCCTAGAGAGCACGACTGCGGCTATGGATCCTACCGCCCTCCGAGTACTGGCGACGCACCCAACAGGCAACCCGGTGCTGCAGTTACTGGTGGACCTGGACATATCATTGAACGGCAAAGACAAGGAGAAGAGGGACCGACTCCTTATTCTGAAGCTCCTACCGGGCGCCCCCGAGAGCCTGAGCGATAACTCGACGCCGGCCTCGGACTTTGTCAACTCGATGATATATGACCCAATCGGATCGAGGCTCCTGGAGACGATCGTGACCCATGCGCCGGCCAAGATCTTCAAGGCCCTCAACGCGAATTTCTTCAGCCCGAGGATACATACATACCTGCGAAACGACATAGCCTGCTACCCGGCGATCAAGGCGCTGAACCGAATGAGCAGGGACGACGTTGCCGAGTCTGCCCGGAAGATGGTACAGGAAATCCCAAAAGTCGTCGCGGCAAAACGGTACAACGTGTTGAAAGCACTCTTCGAGCGGTGCCAGGTGCGGCAAGCCGCCGAAGAGATCGAGGCGTTGCTAGAGGCCGTGTGCACAGCGTATGGCTCGCAGGACGGCCTCAACCTGATCCCCAAGCTCTGCGGCCTGGACGACGAACCTGCCTCTAAAGACGACGACCAAGCAAAGAAGTTCCAGCCATCACTACAAAGCGACAAGCAAAAGGCGGCCGCCGTGTCACACGGCTGCCAGCTAGCCTCGGCCCTCGTCAGCATCCCCGGCTCACCAGCGAGAGCGGTGCAAAAGTCGATACTGTCGCTCCCCACGGCCCAGCTGGTGCACCTTGCGACGTCGACGACGCCGTCCATGATCGTGGTTAAGACGGCGCTGTCGGCGCCGGCCGAAGTGCCCAACTTCCACAAGGCGCTCGTGACCAAGCTGACACCTAGCGTGATGGACTTGGCACAGTCGCAGATCGGGCACAACGTGGTCAACGCCGTGGTGGGGATCCCGTCCAAGGCGGCCGGAGCGGAGGCACAGGCCGCGGTGGTGCCCTTCCACCTCAAGGAGAGGATCATGTCCACGCTCGGGGCGGGCGAGAAGGGCCTACGGGAGAGCTGGACGGGCAGGAGCGTGTGGCGGACATGGAAAGGCGACCAGTGGAAGTTCAGGAGGAGCGACTGGGTGCGGTTCGTGAAGGAGGTCGACCCCGAGGTAAAGCCCGAGGAGAAGCTGTGGAACAGGGTGGCGGACAAGGAGAAGAAGGGCAAGGGCAAGAAGAACAGGGCGGGCAAGGACAGGTCGGCTGGCAAGGACGAGGATGGAGAATAGGGGGTGGAGGGTCAGAGCGGAGGAGTGGTAACGTAGCCAATGATGCCCGGGTAGAAGGCGGCCAGGGAAGTGAATGATGCTTCACGTTCACATTTGTTGATGATACCCAGATCGAGAGCAGGTCGAGACCGCCGGCGAGCAGGCCAAAGGCCAGACCGGCCATCTCCGCCCGACTCCGTACCCAGTGAATAGAGTTTGAAACCTGGGCCTCGAACCTGATTGCGGGATGTGTTGTAATAGAATAACCCAATTTATTAGGGATGCATGCCTAGATACGGGCGACAGGCCGGCAGGGCGGCAGGGCACGGCAAGGCATTTTTTCGACGTCTGGCGATGTGCCTCTGCCTCGCTACCGACAGCGCGGGACCACCCTGGGGCAGCGTGGAATGGAAGGCACAACCAGATGGGATAGATATATCGAGACGGGCATGTGCCGTGGCGTCTGCAGTGGAGCGTAGCACTGCATTTTTGCAGGCTGGCAGGCTGGCTGGCCGGGCACGACATTGCGACAAGTGTGGGCGGGCTGCCGGCAGGGGCCCAGGGGCCCAGGGGCCCAGCCAAGGGGGGTGGAGGCGTGCATGGGCATGGGGGAGAAGCACATGGAAAGGGCCACATGGGGGGCCACATGGGGCAACGGAGCGAAAGGAGCAGGGGCCAGGCGGCTGCTGCGTTGCGTGCCCTCATGCCCTGCAAAGGGGGGCAGGGGGGTGGAAGAACCTTGGAAGGCTGGAAGGGCTGGGAGGTACCTAGGTACGGAGTACTGTACGGAGTACAAGGCCCTCCTCGATGGCTCCTGCCGAATGAGGCGGGCTACTCGCCTCGCGGGAAATTATGGAAACGCTGTCACACTCGGGTGCCTCGGTATGAGCAGGGGGGGTGGGGGGGGTGGTCGAGGTGAGGACCGCCAGGACGGTCGGGGGGGCCAGTTGGACTAGGCGGACCGAGCTGGACCAACCGCAAGCAACTACAACAGCCGGGACGGGGTCTGTCTAGGACGTGCAACGTGCAGGCTGCGCTACCAAAGGTACTCGGTACTGCCCCGTACCCGTGCTAGCCCGTTGCCGACGGCGAGGCGAAAGCGAGAGAGAGACAAACAGACAGACAGACAGACGAGACCACACCTCGCCTGGCCTGTTGAGCGACGAGACAAGATCACAGAGGCACTGCACTCCACTCTGCTCTCATCCCAGACAGACAGACATCTACCGAGTCCATTCGCTGCATATCACCATGTCCCCCGCCCTCTGATGGCCCCCCGAGGCTGCCCTAGGCTCCGGGATACCGCGACCTCCGCGACGCGACGTGCCCCTGACTGACATTCTACGCATCACGCACACACTCTCACACGCACTCTCACTCGCCCACTCGCCCACACGTTCACTTCGCCTGCATACGGACTCACAAACTCAACCCTCCCGCCGAGAAAGACCACATCTAACCCCTTCCTTTCATGGCCGCATGACAAGCCGACCGACCGCCCGACATGGAGAGCAGTCCTGGATATGTCAACGTCATGGGCTCGGCCACCCTGCCGCCCCTGCAGCCAGTCCATCATGTTGCCTGGGCCGAGAGGACTGTCATGTCCACGCCCTCCCCCGATGGGACAACTCCCACCTCGGCCTCGTCCTCCTCGGATGGCCCGCCGCTGCAGGACCCTCCTGCCGTCTCCCCTGCGCCCCTGGACTGGGAGGCCCATAAACAGCTCATCAAGGACCTGTACATGGGCCAAAACCTCAACCTCACCGAGGTTGTCGAGAGAATGAGGTCTCGCAACTTTCATGCCACGTGAGCAGAGCCTCCTCCGCCCCTGCCTGCCACGTCTCTGCCTGCGCTGACCAGTCCACCCTCTTGTCTCTTATTAGTCCCAGGATGTACAAGGCTCAGTTTGCCCGGTGGACATGGAGCAAATATAACTGCAAAAGGTACTGTTTGGGTGATCCCTGCCCCGAGCCTCACCGACACTAATTCCGTTGGCTCAGGATGCGGCGTGACCTGTCTTCCGGCAAGGCCATCGAGAAGTCCACTGGCAAGTCGTGTCACAGGGTCAAGCGCCAACGCCCCACAAAGGCACCCAAGAGGAAGGACCAGCCATCATCTGAGGCCACTCAAGAATCCACTCAAGAAGCCTCTCCGCCCGCCGAGGAGGCCGCTCCTCAAACAGCCACTGTCGTTCGCAGGCCGCAGTACCCCCAACTGAGCGTCCTTTCTTACCAAGTAGCCCACGCCGATGATGGCACCCGCTTCATGCAGTCTGTTCTCACCGACATCAGGAACCACGTCTACAGCTTCTTCTCGCGCAAGCACGAGTGGCAACGGTCTCCTGGCACTAGCCTCATCTCCGCCTACAATTATGCCTTCTACGATTCTTTCCGCATCGCAATGGACAGCTTCGTCAAGAATGAGCACTTCAACGGCGGCGAGATCCTCCGCCGGGCTTTTCTCGAGGTCGAGGAGGCCCTGCAGACAGACTATTCGTCGACCTTCTACTTCTTCTTCATCGACCTGCCCGACTTGTTCTTGCACTACGGAAGGCACGACATCTTTGTCATCTTGCTGGCGCACATCAACAGGCTGACGGCCTTGGGCCTGCGCGACAAGATCATCGGGGCCGGCTTTGCCAGCCTGCATGCACTGGCAGAATCGAACCCGGCTTTCCTACGGCATTACATCAGCGGCGCGTCCGGCCTCTGGTGTGACCTCCTGTCCGAGCTACGCGGTCCCAGGGACCGGGGCACTCTCCTTGCGAGGAGGAACCACCTACGACACTCTCATTCCAAGGATCCCCAGAAAGTCAAGGCGCTCTGTGACGATTATGATCACCTTTTGGGCGAGGTACAAAAACATTGGGGCCAAGGGCACACCGCATCCAGGCACTTGGAGGACGTGGTCCTGATGACGCAGCTCAACTATGATCACTTCTCGGATAGCTTCGCAGAGAGGAACGAGAGGCTGATAGAAGGTGTTGTGACAAAGTACCAGCTCGCCCCCAGCTCAGCCCCCAGCCCCGTCACGCCGGAATCGATCGACAGCGGTAGCAATACTAGCGACGGCAAGTACGAGGTGTTGCCGCTCGCAGCCTGGGACGTGCTCGACCGCAACATCCGGTCCAACTGCTACCATCGGTTGGCGTGCTACTACGTGCACCAGGGAGATGCGCCGCTTGCCGCTTTCTATGGCGCAAAAGCGAGGGAGGGGTGGAAGACGGACTTTTGGCAGCTGGAAGTCGAAGCCCTCCTTGTCGGTTCTGGAAGGCTATTCGAAGCCGAGACGCTTCGACGCTGTCGCCTTGAGGCCCAGTATTTCGGGAAGCTGTTGGAAAATGACTGGACCGCCGCAGGTATGCCATCTTCCCCTACATCATTGTCCCCGTGATAGCCTTGACTCGGCTGTTTATATGTCATGATTTCCTGCTTCCCACCCACCACCCCCACCCTTATTCCATTTGGGTTCTACCTATTCTGATCATGTTTATTGGCCAAGTTTGTCCGTCTGACAATACCAAAGCTGCCGAGCTAGACTACTACCTCAATATCCGACCGTCTGTTATGAAGAAGATGCCACACACAACCGGTGGTTCCTGGGCTCCAAGCCTGGGCTATGGTGGTCACCGGCCCTTGGCTAAGAGCTGAAGATGAGCCGGCTGTGGTTCGAAAACATCGAATTCGGGGCTTCAAGCACTAGCCACCGGTAACGAACAAAAGTTATAGCTCCCGAGGCCCGGCCTACAGTCTATCGCGCCCTAGCACATCTGATGTGCTACCAGGTGAAGGCCAAAAACCAGCCGGGTGCTCATTATAAAGTGATGGCTGAGTAGCCTAAATCTTCACACTAAGTTGCATTCGAATCACAAGTTTGAACGAAATGTGGGCTTTTAAAACACATGCTACGAGACACTTTCCGACGCGGACCGTCCATCCCTGAACAAAAAAAGAACAACGCAAACGCCCTCAAACTTGCGACACGCACTGAGCAAGCAGCTATTCAAAGATCACCAATACCCGAAGTGTCATAGAAACGCACCCGAGCATACCTGTGTGACAAAGTTATACCACCCGGCAATCCTTCAAACGCGCAATGACGGCACACAAACTCGTCAGGGGCAACAGCTCCCTTTTTATGGCCGTCGGCTCTTCCCTGAGGGCTCGACCGGTGACCCCGACCATCGTGGGACCCCAGGGCAGAAGGAACACCGATAAGACATTCTGCACAAGTCAAGACCAAGGATCCACCCACTCGCCCTCCATTGTCCATCTCGGTGTGACCATCTCGTCTCCCCTCATAGACAGCCCGCACAGGCGGAGGCCAACGGCCGGCGTCATGCCGCGGAGTGGGTACGACACGACCAACATGCGCATGGCAGCGAACCCTCGACCGGCAGGCTCTGCCGCGGGGACAGGCAAGCCGAGAAATGACAAGTCAAGCGGTGGCGGCACCGGCGGCGACGGCAGCGGTGGCGGTGGCGGTGGCGGTGGCGGTAGGGGAGTCGGTGACAGGCGCAAGGACAACGGCCGAGACGGAGACGATAAAGGCTCTGCAAAGAAGCCAGAGCAGGAGCCGGGACGGGGAAGCAAGGACGAGGAACCGACCGCCGACAAGACCGCCGACGAAGTGAAAATCCCGTGGGTAGACGTGCGCATTCCGTTGGAAGGTCGTGGGTGGACGTTCTGGCTATGATGACCTTGGGAGGCCAATGTCGCGATTTTCCTCGGGCGGGCGCGCGCGATATCTAGCGCACCGGCCGAACCGCGACCGCTCGCTCGACTTGCCGTCGCCCATTCTATTTTCTTGTCACGACCTGGTACGGAGGAAAACGGATCAGCTGCGGCATGCCGGGCCTTGGGGACGCGGCGGGACGCGGCCTGACGTTGCGAAGCCCTGCGGTCTCGTGAGTCAGCGGGACAGGGTGGTGGGTAGGAGGGGAGACATCATAGTTCTGGGGCAGGACGGGCGAACGGGCTCGGTGCGGACGGCAAGGCCCGTGACGGCTGGCGCACTCGCGTATGGCGCACAGACAGCTGTCAACGATCATCGGAGCAGTCCATGCTCCAGGCTCGCAGCGAATAGATCATTTGTTTGTTCGGTCGGCAAAGTGGGCGAAGGACTGCGAAAGAATGGCTTTCATCCTGATTCACAAGGGTGGATCATTGCCCACTGTGTGTATACGCGTTTCGAGGAGAGGAGTTGGGAGACAGACAAGCCTCGAAGATGGGGAATATCATTCGAATCGAGAAGGCGCACTGAAGCTTAGGATGGCGACCTGAAATCTGATGGCCAAGTTTAGCAATACAGGAACATAAATTCCATCCATCCTCCATGCCCGCTCCTGCGTTGCCTTTCCCCGTGCGTGTCCTCGAGCCTCATTGCGTCTGCTCGGGCGGCCGCGTAGGCCACGGTACCTTCTCGCCTACAGGGTAACTTCCTACGTGACTCTTTGTTATGGGCACCCTTGTGTGGTATATCCATGTATGAGATTTTTCTCTCATGACTTCCTCTCATAGGATTCCCTCTCATAGGATCCCCAACATTGAGAGACTCTGCTGGATAATAACGTACTATAGAGGAACATCTTGTAAAAAGTCACCACATAGATTTAAGGGTAACTGTATTCACATAGATATTGCTATCATCTGAAAGCGTAGCGGTGGTACGGTAATGGTATATGTGATGGGAAGGAAGCATTTTACGAAGTCGGTGCGAAGAGTACAGACGAGGGCCGCACGCTGTCACGTTTACGGCATTGCTTGTATATGCACGCGGACGCATACTACTAAAATTCTGTTTAAAAAGAATGTTGTTTTGATTGATCGGAAGTGAGGGAGGCGTTGGTATCGCACCAATTTTCCCCGCGGCCGTGGACTCTCCCTGTCCTGCCGCCCAGGGGTGAACTTGTGATGATTATGTTGAAAAATAGCTCAACACATTTTGACAAATAACTTCCCAACACCGGTAATGCCTGACTTTTCTCCTCGTCAAAAGGGACGCTGCCCGAAAATGTCCTATCCAATATAATCAAAAGACGCCATGTTTGAATGCCCTGATAGGCTCGAATGCTGTATGCCTGCCACGCATCACAAATGCTATGCTTTTTCGACCACCCTGAAAGGTTCGAATGCTATATGCCCATACATCATAAAAAAACGCCATCCCTTTTTTCGAATGCCCTAAAAGGTTCGAATGCTGTTTTCTTCGCTACCAGTTCGGGATGATTCGAGATGAAACAGTTCGCCGGGAGCGCGGAGCGCCTCAAACAAAAAGTTGATTACACAAATGTCGTAGGTTTCGTAAGTCCTCATCGGTTCTCGGGTCCACATGACACCGGATGTCGACTTGAGGCCCAAAATAAGAGTACAAGGCCACACCTCACGCGAGGTCCAGGCCGGGTCCAGGCCGGAAGACTGCATGTGCCGATGGGCGCAACTGGAAAAGCCCGAGGGTATCTTCGAAGCACAGTTTCCAAACTCCACAAAGCAAATTGAAGAAAGGAATGCCTCTTGGTCCTGTTGCTTGTGACCCTTTTTTCTGTTACATTTTGGTTTTGCTTTGCTTTTGAGGCTTTCGTTCCGGGAGTGGTGTTGCTGTTGCTCAGGTCGAATCTTCCGGCTGCGATGCGGGGAGCTGAAGGTATGAGTCAAAGTCAAACTGGTCGTAAGTAGATGTGGTGTTGAAGAAGTCCGTAGTGAAGTCATCCGTGGCATAAAACTGTTGGAAGTCATTGGCATCCAAGCTGTTGCCTTCGAGACTATCCGAGGATATCTGTGTTACCGCGTCATCCGAAAGACCTGTCTCGAGCTTGACAGCCTCAAGCGGCTGGCTGCCGGTGTAGAGGTGTAGTGGGTCACTCCCGAAGGATGGCTGGTCATCTCCCGCGTCCTCGTTCTTCACCAGAGGCTTGTCTGCTGCACCCTGTGCCTTGGCGTTTGGCTTTGACCCGTGGTCGCTCTTTGCTGCTACTGGGGACTCCTTCTTGGACACTGGGCTCTGCTGGGTGTTCCGACCGCGGGACTGCCTCCTTGCGCGCAGCTCTAGCAGATCTCCGTGCTGCTGAAGTTGGAAGGGAGCCTGGGTGGCGTTTGAGGCTTGGCCGCCGGCGAAGAACCCGGCGAAGTCGGTATCCTGGGGGAACATGCCGCGCAGGTTAGCGGGCAGTTCACTGGTGAATCCTAACCCGTAGGTCGGCTGGAGCGAGCCAGGGGACATTGGTACTGTCTGCGAAGACTTGCGGCGCTGGATGTTTTGCTGGTGGTGAGTTCCCATCGGGGCTGGCATTCCTGGGGATGGCATGCCTGAGACGTGGCGGAAAGCAGCCGGCGACTGTGTCTCAGGGAAGGCCTCTCCGAAGCTTCGGCGCTGCCCGGCCACCTGGGCGGACTGGGGCGCAATGACGGGTGAGATGCTGGATGCCCTCGATTGGGGGTTCGTGTTGATCTGCAGGGCGTCCATCTGGCCCATGGACATGCTCCTCTGGTGCATAGACATGTGCAAGCTGGGGGACGGGAAGGCGCTGCTGGAGGAGGCCATGGGGTTGGCGGTGGCTGGGCTGCCGATATGGCTGTCCACGGGGCTCCCGAGCGCGTTCTGAGGGCTTGGGTAGTGGAATGCAGGCTGGTGGGAGGGGGTTGTGGGCGAGAAGGGAGCGGCGGTCATCTGTGGCGAAGACTGGGCCTGTTGGGCGCCAGGAGCGTGGGTCTGGAAGGCGGCGGCCGGGCGGGTGGAAAAGCCACGGGGTCCGAAGAACTCGGCAAACTGGGCGTTGACGTCGGCCTCCCTTTGGAGGTCCCGCTGGAGGTTGGGAAACCTGTCGTAGGCGGCGGCTCGGGTGCCCAGGGTTGCGATGGCATAGGCCTGGAAGCGGGGCATGCTGGCGAGGATATCGTTGTTGTTGAGCAGGGCCGAGTACCTGGCGGGCAGGTCGTCCTCCTCCTCGTACATCTCCTCGTTGAGGACGATCTGCTCGGAAACCTTGAGGGCCTTGCCGGTGCGCTGCTTGTGGATCTCGGAAGCAGCGTAGGCGGACTGGACGCGGGCCTCGAGGCTGCGGTCGCCCCTCCTGGATGCGGCAATGTATGCCCTCTCCTTGTTCTCCGAGGCTGTTCTCTCGCTCTAGAAAGACAATCAGATGATGGCGCATGAATGGGCGTCGAGCTCGGAGACGAGTTCAGTACACACCTGCCTGGGGACGCCGGCGTTGGGGCCGGCACTCCCGGTGGACAATCGGGAGCCCTTGGGAGGCATGTTGAGGTTTCCTAGGGAGCAATATCAGGCGAGGGACGGAGGCAGCGATGAGATGCGATGATGGCCGGATCGAAATGCTGTTGAAGAGATAAGAGGTGGTGAGTTGTTGGTTTTTGTTGTTTTTGTTCTTGGTGTTGTTGTATGGCGGCGAATTCGCATGCGAATGGTACAGCTCTGACGGATATGAATATTGCGTGCTATATGCCCAGATTCGTGTACACGATGAGTTAGTTGATCCTGGACCTGGCCACTTGGCACCGGCAGGAATAAACTGAAAACAGGATGTGGTGGCGGGTTGGAGGTGGTTTAAAGAACAAGAAGGTCGAGGTAAGCGGATTTGGCCGCGCAGGCGCAACTGGGCGAGATTGTATAACTGGGGAGCAGGATGGATGGAGGAGGAGGCGACTAAGGCGACAGTGAGGAGAAGGAGCAGGACGGGCACCGGCCTGGCAGTTGAGCTAGCGAATGGGTAGGCCAATTGCCTGGGTAGGCCAATTGCCAATGCCAGCCAGTACCAGCCAGTGCCAGCCAGTGCCAGCCAGTGCCAGCCAGTGCCAGCCAATGCCATAATACGACACACGTCTCTGCTGCCTCTACTGCCTCTCTGCCTCTCTCTGGGCACCAGCAGCCCGCACCTCGCCAATACCCCAAGCCCGCCCGCCCGCCCAGCCCGCCTGCCCGCACACGCTACCCACGGTCCAGAAAGGGCAGCATGGGCGCGGGGGAACTGACTCCCGTCCCCCTCGTTGCTGCGGTTTCCCTACCAGCCCGAGCTGCCCCTGCACGCCCATGGGCCCACTGGCCCGCTGGGCCCACTGACCATTCACCCGAGCGCCTGCTGTTAGTGTTGGGCTGTTAGCGTTGCCTTGCAGGGATCCTCTCGCGCCTTCTGCTCCTCGCTCTTGTCCTTTCGGCCTTTGCTGTGGGGGGGTTTGGGGGGGTTCGAAGCAAGTACTAACCACATCGGGAAAGTATACCACGCTGTCTGGCATCTGGGTCACAGAAGCAAGATCCGATAAGGCACCACGCCCGTAGTACGCCCGCACATGCTGACAATGCTGTGCAAGCCTGGCTTGCCTGGGGAGGATCAAGCCTGGGGGAAGACACAGGCAGTACAACGGAGTACATACTATCTGTAAAGCATATCATCCATCTCATGGCTGCTGCCCCAGGGGTCCAGGCCCAGACCGGCCATCTTCAGCATCTCCCAACACGGCCATGCATGTACGGAGTACAGTCCATGTGTGTGCTGTACTGCACCTTCAGAACCTTGTGCACCAACCCTGCCGTCCACAAGGTTCACTTCACAGCACAGAGTGCAGGGTGCATAGTGCAGGCGGCAAGGTGCAGAGCTGTGGTGTTTTCGATCTTGGGTTTTGTCGATCCTGGTCCGATGCGGCGGTTGGGAGGTTGTGCAGATCGATCTCGATTTGCAGGGGCCCTGCGATAGGCCATAGGCCATAGGCCTACTCCCACAATTCCCGGCCCAGCAGCCCAGCAGCCCAGCAGCCCAGGTATCTGTCAGGCCCGTCTTCTTTCAGCCTTTGAAAGTACAGACGACGTACAGGCCCGAGCCCGAGCCCACGCCCACGATCTCCTGCCTGTAATAGGGCTGGCGTGACCCTGGCGCACTCTTCCCACCCCCCCTTAATAATCAGAGCACACTGGGGGAAAGATGAGACGACATGGCAGCATCGGTGGTACCCCCCCAACCCCCCTCGCTCCGCCACAACCAAGACCAACAAGCCGGGTATAAGGTTATGGCAGGTGGCGTGTGTGTGAGCGCGTCGGGGTTCGGGCGTCTCGGTGGGGAGCTTGGGTTGAACGTCCAAGGCCGGCGTCAGTCCCTTTCCAGAATATTGATTGTTATGTTTTGGCATGGTGGTGTTGCACTCTTGGGCCTGAGGGAGAGGGCCAACAGATTATTCGTTGGGCAGCAGACCCTCCCCCCGCATTTCTGGCCCAAGCTCGAGTGCGAGTTACAAGCAATAAGCTTTGTTGCTGCTGGCCGCCTGGCCGCCTGGCCGCCCGTGCTGTCCCTGCCCTCTTGACTGGAGCTTCTGGCACGGGCCAGTTGGGGCTGGCTGTCGGGTCGGTCAGTCGGTTTGGGCCCACCAGTCCCAGCTCGGCGGTTCGTCGATGGCTGGGCCTGTGCCTGGACCTGTGCCTGGGCAGTGCTTGAGCAGTGCTTGAGCGGGTGCGAGCGGTGCTTGTGGTGCTTGTACCTGACGGAACAAACTGTCCGGCCAGCTAATGACCCCCAGCTTCTGAACCTCTCTGCCTCTTTGACGACCCTCATTCACCCAGTCTGCCAGTCCGCTTCGGGCAAAGTGTCGGGCTGGCTGGCTGGCTGGGCTGGACCCATTGTCTGGCACGGCTCCCCTTCACTGGCTGACTGGCTGGCCCGTCTCCCGCACACCGGCACGGCACCCACGACACTTGCAAGACTTGCCAGTATCGCTGTCTCACTTCCTGTGCCAGGCAGCCAGGCCGCACGGCTGGCCGGCTGGCGCGGTATGAGGATGGGATTTTGGAGAATCCCATCCCAACAGACATGGCAATCTGCTCGTCTGCTCCCCCAGCCTGTCGCCTGTCCGCCATGTCAACAAATTCGCCACTCTTCCAGGCCACCCTTATCAGCGCATTACTAATTGCTGTCCACGAAGCACCGTGGCAACTTTCTCCCCCTGGTGTTTCTCGTCCTGGGGCTGTACTGCCGACGTGCTTACCGTCTGCTCTTGCCCGACGAAACCCTTGGACTGACAACTGCCGGATGCCAACGGCCCAGCGGCCACAGCTGTGGCGTGTCGGCTATAAGACGGCTTGGACGGCCTCGAACTACAGCCCATCACATCAAGCCAGTCCCTCTGTCCCTGCAATCTCGCTAGTGCTAACGCCTTGTGCTACTGCCAAATCACAGCACATTCCACCTGACGGCCTGTCTGCGAACAGCAACGACAGTAATCACCACAATGACCAGGGACAACGGGTCACACTGTCCCCACGTACTGCTTGTTCCCAAGCCACGACGCTGTCGCGGACCGATATTGCTCGGGCAGTCAATATCGCATCGCAAAGCTACCAGCCATTTTTAGGCTTAGCCCCGTGGGGCCATGGCAGCCTGGCTGCCTGCGTTTCCGCTAGTCGCTAAGACCTAAGTCCGATGCTTCTGCTTCTAGAAGACAAAGGTCCCTCTGCCTGTCTGCCCGCCAAGCTTCCGATCTATCACACGCATCGCGATCTCGCCCTCCTCCAATCGCAGCGATTCCGGCATGAGGAAGCTGCGTCGCCCGACGACCCACCCCAGCCCACCACCCTGCTCCTGGCAGCCGCACCCAGAACAGGAAGTCCTGTCGTCCTGTCGTCCTGTCGTCTTGCCGTCAGGTCGCCCGGTCGCCCGGTACCGCTGCTTCGGGCTGTTCCATCGATATCAGGTACACACTTAGGTGGACCGTCACGGACGCGAGGTCAGGTGCCTGGGACCTGGCCCTCGACCCTCGACCCTCGACCTCGACCCTCGACCCTGACCCTCGACCCTGACCCCATGCCATCTCGCCGACAATCAACTGTCACCAAACCAGTGGCCCGTGGTCCTTCCGTCACAAACTGTTCCCTGCGGCAAGCCGCCGTAACGTGCGCTCACGTAACATCCGTCCCCGTCTTTCCTTTTGTCCTCCTGAATCTACATTGGACCACTCTGTCGGTAACTGGACCCCTTTTTGCCGGCTAAACCTGCACAATCTGTGTGTTGAACCTGACCAGACAACACGGTGCCCGAGTGAAAAGTGATTCGGAAACGCGGCTGGAATTACTCTAGACTAGGCCTCAAACTTGTCCCATTTCTCTCGTATCTCTCCATAAATCGCAAATATAACGTCACGCATACACCGGTCCCTCAAATCCAGCGCGCTTCTTTGACCCGTTTTGCACTGGGCCTGATTCCGGAACACGACGATCGAAAACAGCATCGTGAAAACTTGCGGATCGAAATGGCGGGTGGGTCTCCGCCGAGAATCACCGGAGCCCGGTGGTGCGGTGCGGCTTCGATCCCCTCAGCGGCAGCAGTATGCCTTCAGATCGGAAAACTCGTCGACCGGGCGTGCCGACTTTGGCCCCACCCGCCTTCTCACCTCGAACCACCACACTCTTCGCCCACATCTACGTCACATTCTTCAACACGCGTACCTGTCCCGTCCGTCTCTTGGCTCTAGCCCCCCCTGCCCGAGCACGCGGCCCGACTGTTCAGGACGTGCCCCAGGACCCATTGCATCGTGACGGGCGCTTCGTGTCGTCGCCATGCCGCTCTCAGCAGGTACGCATGTGTAGCAGGCGAACATCACGCTGGAGGCTTCGGATCTTGTTCAGTTCGTCCCGTGCCCCCCGGTTCTCAGATCGCGCCTCTCCACCCCTCTCCCCCGTGGGCCCGGTACATGCTTGGCCTGATGAGGCTGGCTAAACACTAGTCTGCCAGGGCCCGTGGGCCCCACGAGCGCGAAACCCCCAAGGGCTTCACAAATATAGCCGAGTACAGGCGCAGCAGGAGCCCGATTGAATCGACAATTGTTGTTGCTATCGTTCCGATCTCCTTCGTAGGGTCCACGGGGTATCTTGCCCTGGCGCTCCGACATCAAACAAGGGGCTGCAGGCCGGACACGGGTTGTGAGAGCCTTGCGGACATTTTATTGCTTGCTGTCTTTGAACTGCATAGAGATCGAGGCTGGCCAGGAACGGCGATGCCCGCAAACTACTTTCTAGCCAAATGGCCCCAAAGAGAGCCAGCGTGTTCGAAAATGACGCCAGCGCTCACAGATCCGATCAAGGATCATGATGACCACAAAATGATGGCCCGTTGACGCCGTGGAGCAGCAGCAGGCTTCTTGATACTCTCTGACCGCTTCAGCCTTCAGCCGGTCATCGCCAGAGGCATGATGATCATGTCCCGGGTCTAGATGTCCTGAGCGGGCTCAAAGGCCACACTCGAATGGTATGGTTACCACGCAGGCTGGATGCGATAAAGTGGAATGCAGCAGGCGTGTCCACGACGAAGCGTGGCCAAACAAGTTTCTCGATACACAGTACTGCTTGGCTGTACTGCGCGGGCCAGGGGCACAGCGAGAAGCATGCACATTAAGGGTACCTGGTCCAACGGCAATTCCCGGTTTTTGAGTTTCTCCAAGAGAGACTCAGCAATACATTGTGACAAGGCCTGCCGGCCCAGCTCCGGATGGCCGCGTCTGGTCAGCCCGACCGGGGCAGGCCATCACGGCCTTCTCCGTCTCTGCGGTCCAGCTGAGACATGTGCTCTTTGCGTTTGTTTGTTTCTCCATTCTTCTTTTTGTCCCCCTTTCCCCACAGTAGAGATAATGTTATCGGCAGGAATCACCGCGATGCCTTCAAAGAGCGCAGCAGGGCACCCCCGGGACGGACTGTGCTCTCGCCCTTCTCCCGCGGTCTGAAGTTGGAAGACACGCACAGCTAGATCGCATGATGTTCGGGCAGCCCGGATGAGGATTATACTCGCGCGGGGTTGAACACATGGGCCGAGTTCGATGAGGATGGCATAGAGCATCTTGGTTAACGCGTGCCTGAAAGGTAGGCGCATACTTTGATGAACATCTCAAAAATTTCAACTCTGTCAGCACTCTGCCAGCAGAGGATCCGTTTCTCTCTCGCCCAAGATGAGATAGATTGCAGACATCAAGGGCTCCCGAAGCCGTGCAGGTTTGCCTGACTCTTCACGTGCTCGTAGCCTGTTGCGCAGTCTGGGGGGCAACCTTGACCTACCCATACCATGCGGACAAAGATCTCGTTCCAAAGTGACTCACAATTGTTGGAACTCCGATTGCGCTGGCAGGCGGGTCTGTCTCAGCAGTTCGTCGCGTTTCCACCTGTCTCACATGTCTCCCTGCAACAGAAAGCTTTACCGCACGCGAGTGCCCACCGCGGGAAGTTCCAGGTCGAGAACGAAAATAACCACATTACGGGGAACAAACCCAAATACATGTGTGTATGTGTGTATGTTGCCAGGAACGGGCCAGCACGCGGAGGAAGCCGAACACGGCCGGCGCGGCTTCCGCCCACAGTCCCGCTGAGGAGGAAGCCCCTGGCCGTGGAGTCACAACGAGCACTTGTAGAAAGACAACACACCTCACGCAGTCGAGCGTCCATGGTCTCTCCAGCCGCTTGGATCTGAATTTCGCTACCGAGTTTAATCATTATGCAGACGGAGATAGTCGTCATCTAGGCCCAGGCGTGCGCCGACAAATGGACCAAACCCCGCGCCCCCATTCTTAACCCAACACCCAGATACTGGGAAGAGTCGTGGCTGAACGATGTGACCGACCATCTCATTACAGCCCCCCTGCCATAAAAAAAGAGAACATCAAAGGAAACGCTATGCAAATGCTGAAAAAAAAACTACTATGCCTATATCCGAATCTCCCAGTCCCCATGGCCGTCCCCATCTCGCTGCCCCAAAGCCCCGACGAGTGCAGAAAACCAAAAGAAAAGGCATGTCAGGGGAGAGTTATGGGTGTGGAGTAATGTGTATGAGTATATGTATGTTAGTACGAGTATGGATATGAGTGTAGTATATCCAAGAACAACCCCTGACCAACCCCCTCCGCTCACTCAGCCCGTGAGCAAGCTTGGGGGAAACACACCGTCGCCAGCTTGGGGTGTACAAAAATAGCCATTGGTTCATTGACCTGTTCCTATAAGAGAAAGCCGGCTTCGCGGGCGCGTTTGATGATGTACAATGCCGCGAGATGTGGCATCTTTTGGCGTGCATCCGAGACCGGGTCATTGTCGCAAAGGAGGAAAAGGACCCATTCGAAGTTGCTTTTCTGATGGCGGATGCTGTTCCACGATGCAGAAGTGGCAGGGACGCGTGGATTTCCGCGTGTCTTCAGCATGCGCAGTCACCGGGAAGCGTGCGAGGGGACACCGGATGCCGACCCCTTTACTCCGCGGTCTTCCACGTCCCCTTGATTTTGGCGTACAAGTCGGTGTGATGGAAGTCATAGTCATCCCTGAAGACGCAGAACGGATGCTCGGCAAGAAGCTTGGTGGCTGTGGGGCGTTCCTCGGGGTTTCTGAAAAAAAAAAAATGGCACCGCAGCGTCAGCAAAAGGAGATCACTCCCCACAGAAAAAAGAAGGGGACTAGTGGTCCCAGGGGCTAAATGAGTAGAAGAGGGCAGGGGGGACTTACACCGTGAAACAATCCCACATGAAGGCCAGCGCCACCGGGCTCACCGCCGCAGAGACCTCTTCGGGAATGGGTGGCGTCTCTCCGTTGGCGATCTTGTATATGGCGCCGACTGCCTCGTCCTTGGACCACGGCCGGCGCCCGGCAAACATCTCGAGGACCACGCAGCCCAGCGACCAAATGTCCACCTTTGCGCTGTAGCCCTCGCCCTGACTGCGGATCACCTCGGGCGCCATCCAGAAGACGGAGCCCTGCATCGAGTTGGTCTTGTCATTGCCGTAGATATTGTCCGTCTTCTTGCTGATGCCAAAGTCCGAGATCTTGGCCGTGCCGTCGACGTCCAGCAGGATGTTGTCCGCCTTGAGGTCGCGATGGAGGATGCCCTCGCGATGAAGGTAGGCCAGGCCTGACAGCGTCTGCCGTGTCAGGCTTGCCACGACGGATTCCTCAAACTTGCCGTGCTTCCTCACGCAACTGCCCATGCTGCCACCGGGAATGTACTCGAGGAAGATGGAAATGCTGGTCTCCTTCCTCTCGCATCCAAGGTACTGCACGATGTTCACGTGGTCGAGGTGCTGCATCGTGTCGATCTCCTGGTCCAGCGCGGCGACGAGCTCCTTCATCTTGGCCTTGTCACCCCCTGCGGCCTTGGGGTTGACCTCGACTTCCTTGACCGCCAGGAATTCACCCGTCGTCGCGTTCATACCGAGGTAGACCCGCCCATACGTGCCCTTGCCGATGAGCTGGCCCTTGAACCATCGGAACGTGGTCTGTCGCTTGGGGATCTGGTTGTTGGCGTTGTGTGGCAGGCTGGGCAGGTGGTCCTGTGGGATCTGCGGGAGGATCATGGACCCCCGCTGCGGCCTGATCTGCACGATGTTGGCATTGAACATCTTGGTCGACTTGCGTCGCATGAGGTTCGTGTTCTTGTTCGCGGCGGCTGCCGTGCTGCTATTCGGAGTCGGCGGCACCGGCGGCGCCATTCCAGCGCCTTGTGTGTAGCGCTTGTGGGCCACCTCTCTGATGGACTTCATCCTGCCCAAGCCCTGGGACCGCCGCGTGCTTCTCTGTGCCGCGCTGACAAACGAAGCCGGCCGTTCGAGTGCCTTGAGGGTGGATTCATCACTGCCAAGGGTGTCACTGTCGTTGTATATAGTACTGATCCTGGAAGATGTTACTGGCTTCGACTGCTGCCCCGGTTGCTCCTCCGTCTCCTCGGCTATCGGACTGGGCGGCAGATCGCCTGGGATCTCGGTGCCTTCCTCCAGTACGGGCTGGTCCACGTCCAGGTTGGGGAAAAAGTCCTCGAGGTTGTTGATCAGCGCGTCGGTGGGAGGACGATTTGCCCAGATCGAGGTGTCCTTCTCCATAAAACTCTTACGCCTGCTAAGCTTTACGTCATTGTCGTTGGAGTCCCAGCCCTCGGAGTGCGGCGTGTTAGGTGTTCTCTTTGAGCCCTTGGATGAGTGGTCATCATCGTCGCCTGCCGGTGTCTTGCCCCCGGACGAGGGCGGCAGCTTTGGGCTCGTGAACGATACCGACAGCCCCTTCTTACCGCGCTTGGTGTTCACAGTCAGGCTCGGCCGCTTGCCGAGATTGCTGGCTTCGCGTGCTACCTCCTCCTCGTCCCCGTCGCTGTCCTCATCATTCCAGAAGGTGCCATCCTTGCTAACAGGCGACGCTTTCGCCACAGGCTGTTTCAGAAGCTCCTTGCCCTTGCTGGGAGCGCTGGGGGCACCACGTCCGGCCAGGGGTTTCGCAAATAGCCCGTCGTCCGAGTCGTCGTCCGAGTCGTTATCCTCTTCCTCGTCTGAGGAGGAGTCCCCGTCGAAGATTCTGGGCTTGACGACCACCTTGGGCAGCTGCGGCGGCTTGTCCGACACGGTCCTTGCTGTCGGGCTGACGTCGCCCGCGGAGGCTTTTCTTCGAGACTTGGCGTCTTCTCCTGTTTGTTGTTGTTTAGCTTCAATGTCAATCCTGAGTGGGTGCCTAGCAGATCTGGTGCTGTTCCTCGTCCTGTTCCGTCTCCCAAGGGGTGAGTATGTTCTGGGCAGCCGGGTTCCGCCAGGTGAGTAGTCGGGCACATCAAACGCCACACCCCCCGGGCTCATGGTCAGAGAGCCGGGGTTCGGTGGCGTTCGCGGTCGCGGACCACGGTGGTATCCACGCAATGAAATGCTCGATCGAGCATCCTTACCTGCTTCATCCCCTGATCCGGTCCCTGCGAACTCGTTGTCACCTTCCGCTTCCGCCCTGTTTGGTGAGTTGCCCCTTCCGGCACCGCCGGGGTGTGCGATGCCGCCGAGGCCGCGGCCGATACCAGCAAGCGCAGCTCCGATGCCACCGAGGGCCTGGCGCTCGTTGTTTGGTCTCCTCTTCTCGGCCATCTGCTTTGGGCTCTCGGAAATACCTGTGCTCAGTCGCTTGGTGGGGAAACCGTCCATGCTCCCTTGGCTCGTCCGTTGGTGCGAGCCGCGTTTCGAGAGCGAGTTCGCCTTGATGAGGGTCGCTGAGGGATCGAGAGGCGCCGCGGGAGCGCGCCTCTGCGGGGCAAAGGCGCTGTCGAATGGTTTCTTGTCTTCAAACGGCGAGTTGCGTGGCTCGTCAAAGTTGACAACGCGGCCCACGATACCGCTGTATGTGTTTGCACCATTGTCCGAGGGTGAGTTACCGCTCTCTTTGGCAGCCTTGCGCTTGGCCAGATACTCCTGCTGCTTCCTGTGCATCTCGGCCTTGTATGCTTCCGCCTGCTGCGTGAGGTCGCCGTCGTCGCTCTTGTTGTCACTCGCCCCGTCGTTCTGCCCGTTCGCTGACGTCTTGTCCTTGTCACCTCCGGTGAGGGTGTTCTGCCTGGATGCCGGCGGAGAGGAGCTAGACCTCCTGCGCTGTCCGTTCAGGCGCGCGTACGTATCCTCGTCCATCTTCGCACCCGCAGGCAAGTAGGCCGGCGAGAGCGCATCCTGTGGCTGGCCGATATTCACCCCCAGGCCGCCCATGTTTCCAGGCCGGACGAATATCTTCAGAGACCCGGCGGCGTCCGCCCTCGATTTCTTCTTGGCGACTAGCCTGTTGTCGTCCAGCGCATCATCGTGATCAAACTTGCCTAGTTCGGTGAGATAAAACTCAGCGCCATCCGCGTCCGGCAGGCCGAGGTTGACGCATATCAGTTGTCTAAGATCCGATGCGGATTCCATATCCGAGACGTCCACCATGCGGTAATTCCAATAGTCCAGCGTGGCGAGGATGAATATCCTGCCCCTGGTGATGCGCCTCGACCTCATCGATGATGCTGGCCTCTGCTGCTCCGTGGAGAAGCTCGAGCCCGGCCTGTCGAGTGATGTCTCGCTCGCGTTTCCTCTGCTCCCCAGCGAGTGCTGCTTGAGCTGCATGGGGCTCGTGGGCGACTCGGGGTCGTCATGATGCTTCTTCTTGCGGGGGTTGAGGAACGACAGGAACGACTTGGTCTCCCTCGCAGACCCAGGTGGCTCGCTCGCGCCAGCGGACCGGTCGCCAGCCGACGAGTTGTCGCCGAGCGGACTGGGCCGATTGCCGCCGTCGTGGCCATACCGGCGTGTGTCCTTGGCCATTTCGGCGGTCATCTGGGACCGCAGAGCCTGGCTCGCGTCGGGCGGGACGCCAGACCCATATATAGCCGCATTTGACGAGACCGACTCGGTGGAGTTTCGATTTCGGTGGCTCCCAAATCTCCCGCCGGGTGAGGAAGCGAGATTGGGGGCCGTGGAAGACGAGAAAAGGCCTTGGGTCGGCGCCGGGCTCGCCGCGGGGCTGTATCCTCGGTTGCTGCTGCGCTCGTTATTGCTATTGCTATTGCTGTTGTTGTTGTTGCCACTGCTGCTGCCGTTGTTGTTATTGGTCGTTCCTACCTCTCCGAAGTCACTAGCGACCGGGCTGTGGCGGCGGGAGCCTTCGTCGTCGATGCTACCTAGCAGCAGTTTCCTGTGGTTGCCTCCGGGGTCTGAAGAATTGACTGAGTTACTAACACCGTTCCAAAGAATGGGTATGGTCTGCGTCCGTAGCTGTGATGATGACCTACGTCCAACTGAGAATCCAGGGCCTGGGGCCTTGATAGGAGTGTCTGGAGAGCCGCTGTCCGGGCCCGCACTGGTGGGTACGAGAGGGGTGTTACTCGTCGAGCCAGTCCTCCCGTGGGATGATACCCCGGTCGTGGTTAGTGGCTCGCCCCTTACAATGCTGCGGATCAGGCGGCGCATCCTCTTGCCCTCCTCCCTCTCGCGCGACTGATCCCAGCCGGTCCCGCTGCTGGTGCACTCTGTTGCTAGCCGCGGGTAAACCTGCTGGTGCATCATGCCGAAATTGCCACGGCCGCCGTGGCCGCTCCCGAGCTCGAGGAACCTGGACCCGTGCAGGTCCAGGGCGCGAAAGGTCGAGAGCCAGTCCTTGCTGAAGTTGTTGGCCTGGAGCCACGACAGCACGCGGTCCAGCGGCCACTGCGAGGCCAGCTCGGGTGGGATGCCCGACGCACCGCCGGCCGTGGTGGCATTCGAGGTCGTCGAGTTGCCCCTGTTGTGGGTTCCGTACGTATCGACGGGCGTGGAGATGGTCGTGTCGCTGTTTGCTGTCCCCAGGCTCCCCAGGCTGCCGAGCCACGAGCTCTGGGAGGTGGCGGACCACGTCGACATGTCGTCCATGCCCAGGCCGGGGATGCCAACGCCCTCCCCGTACGTGTCACCCTGTGGGATGTAAGTAGCCGACATCTGCATGCTCTCGCTGGGGGGCGGGGGCGGGGGTATGGCGATCTGCTGGCCGTTGACGTTCTTGTATGGCTGTGGGTTGTACGGGCGGGGCGCCTGCTGAGGCGGGGGCGGGGGGATGTAGGACCCGTAGGTGGTATTCCAGGTGCCCTGCCATTGTGTCGCGCTGCCGGGGGGCGGACCCGGGGGAGGCGGAAGCCCGCTGGGAGGAGGCCCGCCCGGAGGCCCCGGCAGGGACATTGCGCCAGCCGGGGCGCTGGGGTACCGAGGCGGAGGGGGAGGTATGTTGGTCATGATGCTGTTCATGCCTCCCAGCTGCGCGGGCGGCGACATGGGCGGGGGCGGGGGAGGGACCTGGAAAGGCCTGGAGGGGTCGACCCCTGACGCCTGGCGCTGCCCGTACATGCTGCTGAGGTTGTTGAAGCTCGCGGACGAGCTCAGGGCCGGGGCGGGGGCGGTGTGCGACCTCGACTGAGGATACGACAGGGTGGTGGTCGGGGGCGGCTGGGAAGGCGGGGAGGGGACGGCGGCGGGCACGGGGGTGCGGCGTGCGTGGGGTGGTGGTGGGCGGGTCGAAGGAGGGAAGGCGACGGCGCGGTTCGTGGATCTGGCGGGAGAATCGGCGGGGGGTCCGGGGGAGTCGGGGGGCGGCACGGGCGAGAGTGGGCCGCTGGCGGTGTTGGCCCTCCTCCTCTGGGCGTGGGGCTCGTGGGCGGAGGCGGAGAGGTAGTGGGAGGTGGTAGGAGGTGAGTTGGCGATGGCGGGATAGGGAGAGCCGGCGCCTAGGCTGGAGAGGAGGGAGGAGTTGGAGCCGAGGGTGGGGACGTCGTCGAAGAGCACGCCGTCGAGCTTGGCGATGTCCTCGGTGCCTTTGCGGTCCAGCAGGAAGGTCGGCCGGGCGAGCTTTGTGGAGGTGGCATCTAGAGACGAAGGCGGGTGAGGAAGGCCCGCGAGGGGGGATCTGGAGTTGTAGGGGCTCAGCAGCCCAAGCCCGCCGTTCGCGTGGTCTCTGTCGCGGTCGCGGTCGCGGTCGGCCTGTCGTGAGGAGAGACTCGAGATGGAGCGCTGGCGCTGGATGCTCCTGCTCATTTGACCGAGGGGGCGGGTTCTTTGTGCGAGGCGAGGTCAGAGGGCATGCTGTGGTGGGCGGGACACGGGAGATGGCGCATCCGGTTGCTTGGGCAGGCTGGCAGGCTGGCAGGGTGGCCGGCGAGGCAGGATGCAGGGGGGGCCGGGACTAAAATCAAAGATGGGGCGCAGTGCTGGGTGCTGGGTGCTGGTGGTGGGGATTCGGGATCACAGTATGGATCTCCCAGAAACTAGAAGAAGGTGGAAAAAAAAAAAAAAAGAGAACAAGACTATGGGGACTGTGAAACCTTGGGCGATCGACAGCAGAGCCCAAGGCAGGTTCCGTCCGTGGGGTCTTTTTTTAGAGGGGGGAGAGAAGGTCCCAAAGTCCCAAAAGAATTGGTGTTAGGCTGCCCAACCTGCCACCCCAAAACAGCAGCAGCAGCAGCAGCAGCACGAACACTCTCCACTCTCCACACAACAGGCAGTATACACAGTATGCATGCAGTCTCGGCACAACGCACTGGTGCTGTGTCAATGGCATGTCCTGTCCTGTCAATTGGCAGAGGGGCACAAGAACAGAAGGGCAGGAGACAGAACAACAACAGTACGGATGCGCGCGGTACTCACAGCTAATACGAATTATTGAATGGCGCCAAGCGTGTGGCACCGAAGGAACAGGTCCCCTATCTCTGCGCGTCCTCTCCTCTGAGAGCCTGAGAGCCCGTGACTGAGGTCTGTGTTCCTCCGCACACGTGCTTATCGTTCGAACACGGGGGCACGGGCGTCTGTTCCTGTTCCTGGACCTCTCTGTCGGGAGGGGGTGGGGGGGATTGGCCGAGGAACGAGTCGAGACTCGAGGCTAGGCGCGGACGGCCAGACAGCCAGACGGCGTCGACTTCTTCGCCTGCTTCTAGCTCGCAACCAGGGTCTCTAGCTTGGAGCCCGTTGGGCTTGGCTGGCCCCCTCTGCTTAGCCGCTGCGGTGGGTTCTCTGCGTTGCTGCGTGCTGCGTGTGCGGCGGGCGTCTGGCGGGCGACTTGGTTGCTAGGGCGGGACGACGAGAATGGGGCCGCTCGATTGTGGTGAGAGGACTCGGAAGGATGGCGGATGGCGGATGGCGGATGGATCAAGGAACCTGGGGGCGACACGGCGACACGGCTGCAGATGCAGCCCAAATGAATGCTGCTGTCTACCTCAGCAAGAATCTCACCAAGAGCACACGCCTGCGCGAATCAGGTCCTCCTCGGCCTTGCCAGCTCACGTCGCACCGCAGTAGCTCGACCAAAGTGCTGCTCCAAGCTGTCTGACCGAGACCGTTGCCTGTAAGGGGCAGGGGGTGCGTGGGTGGGGTGCGTTGGACGAGAGGCACTCTATGTAGACTACTCCGTAGATCTGCAGATAATCAAACGCCAGGAAGCTGCCGCAGAGCATGTATGGCCTTTGCTGGGAGAGTAGAAGAGGAGAAAGAAAGAAAAAAGAAACTCCGAGTAAACAGTCGTCCAACATAGCAACACAACCGTTTACTGACGACCATAATACATAAATCATAAATCAGTTGCTGACAACCTTGCTTCCCTTCAGTCCTGATGTCAGTCCTGATGCCAGTCAGGGGCAGACCAGGTAGCTTCTCACAGGAGCTGTGTCTTAGCAACATTCAATTCGGCTGCACGACCTGTCAGTCCAGTCCCTGACAGCTTCCCCCCCCCCCCTCTTCCTTTCTTTATCTGTTTGTCTGTGTACTGTCGTGCCACAACCCAGGAACCATGATCAACAAGCTGTCACCTACACGTGTAGGGCACACATTGCAGGGTCATCGTGACAGGGATCCCTTCCGCACACACACCCAGCAGCGGGCCCAAGATACGCTCTGCAGATCCATCTCATCATCCACGATTCGCAGGCTCCGTGTTTCTCGTCCTTCACGTGTGACACGGCAAACCGCAGGACAAAACACGTTTTTGGGAGGAAATCCAGCTTGCCCCCTCTTGTCACGTCTCTCTGTTGTCCAAACATCTGCCACACACGCCCAATGGCCTCTTCCCCTATCAGCAGCGTTGGAGATACTTATACTGACTGACCTGGCCCGCTGTATGTGCCCTAGGTTCAAGACATAAGAATAGCCTAGTCTGCCGTCTTACTCGTTCCCTCCATCAATCGTTCAAGAAATGGTCGGCGACGTCACCGCCTGTCAACGCTATAATCGCCATCCCGGCCCTTTAAACGATGCAACACACTTCCATGGTACGGGGTGCTGTGTAGCCACCCAAGAAGTACCATAGAGCCCTGTTCCTTGGCCTCGGCACTTCAAAGCCCCATGGCCCGCTCACACACACACATTGACCACACCACTACTGAGCATCCCCATCTACACTATTAGATCAAGCAGCACAGCATCGTGTCCCGAGGGGACATCGACCCGTCCCCGAAACAGGCCCACCATTGTGTGCCTGATGCGGCCCAGGGCTGGGTCCCACAAGGCTCGCGCGTCGCAGGGCCAAAAGGACCTCGCCTAACTGGTGGGGACGGCAAGGTGTTTGGTTTGGGCATGGTGTTTGGGATCGACTTGTTCAGAGCTAGAGATCCGGATCTGATTGCCACGCGCCTGCGGCAACAGCACAATGGCCTGTGACAAGACCCCTCCAAGGCAACGGGGGCTTTGTTTCCCCCCGTAGACCCGCAGAGACACATATAGCCGCCGCCGGCTGGGCCGGCACTCTGCTGGGATTAATTCCCGGAGTGCTTCGGGGTGGCCGTGCGAGCTCGATCCCCTAATAATGCATGATTGCCTTTTGTGCGCTCGCCCATGCGCGAAACACCACTCCTGGACGAGGACGGCTGAAAAGACATTGATCAGGCCATACATCATATCCACATTCTCCGTGTTGTTCCCGTTTCCCTATGCCTTCCCCCCCCCCCCCCAGGTCGGGCCATTCCTTGATACCGTTCCCGATTGACGTTACAATCTGTTATATACGAATTGGCCAATAACAATTGCTATGCCTTTGCCTGCTGAATATGTACGCCGGTGTCAGCTTTCCTCCCAGAACGCTTGCACCTAACCCTCAGCTCAGTTTCACATCACCACACAACCGTTGCCCAGCCAGTTATTGATCATATCGTAATAACCTGGCTCCTCGCCAGGCGTACCCTCCTTTCCGTCGCCGGTATTGTATCTCCGGACCTGGCCGACAATCTTGATATCCTGCTCGCCCTTGCCGTGCCACCACCGCAGCCGCTGGATGCCGTCCTCGCCCTGCCCAATCTCCCACTTGCCGCCAGACACGTCCACCACGGAGCCCTCCCGCGGGAAGTGGTATTCCGGCAGGAACACCACTGTCGGTGCATCCTGGCTGGGCTCGTTCGCCGTGCGCAGCTTCAGAACGAACGTGCAGCTCCTCAGGTCGAACGTGTAGTGCGTGATGTCCCCGCTCACGGCCACCGGTGCCGGCCGGACGTAGGCCTCCGCGGCACGATAGCCCGGGGTTGCCTTGAGGCCCGGGTCGGTGGTATCCATCAGCTGGGATGGGCTGCCCGAGCTGGGAGGATGGCTCGGGTTGGGCGATGCCGAGGCGGCATCGTTCGTGAGCGTCTTCTTGAGGTTGCTTGGCGTCACCGCGACGTCCTCGGAGAGCCGAGAATTCGTAGACCCCGAGGACTCAGTCTTGGGAGGGGGCACGGCAGAGATGGACAGAGGCTTGTCGTCGAGCGAGTAGATCGAAAGATCCTCCCCGTTCCACTGATCGCCCCATTGGTGGACGTTCTACATTTCCGAGGTCAGTATTGTGTGTCCGCTTACCCGCGGGCGCGCTCTGAGAAAAATGAATATGCTCACATTAGTGGTGTAAAGCCAGAGTGAGTAGCCCTCCATCCTACTGCCCTCGACAGCAAAGTGGTTCGCATCCATGGCTGCGCTCTGGCTAGAGTAGTCTCCCGTCTTGTAGGCATACTTGTCATCCATGTCATATGGAATGCCAAACTCTGTCAGGACGCAGGGGTGGTTACCCATGTAGTCCAGCCCCTCCTTCCTCATCGCGGCCAGTTGGTCCCGGAAGCAGTTCCGGATGGCAGTCTCGCCGATCTTGATGCCGAACGCAGGTGTGAGATATCTTCCTCGGAGAATGCCCAGAACATCCACATTCCAGGTCCGGTTCCATCTCTTGGTCATTAGGGTTATGCCGTCGTAATAGTGCGGGGCGTACACCATATTCGGGTCGTCGTCCACGGTCCCCTTGATGTTGGGCGGCAGCTCAAGCACTGGTGGCTGGCACAACATGATCGCTTCCGGGTGATGTGACCGGATCCTGTCACGATACTGCCTGTAGAAATCCATGAACCAGTTGTTGGTGAAGTAGGGATAGTTCGCCACCGCCCCGTTCCTTGGGTCGTGGGCGAAGTAGTCCTTGCGGAGCAGCGTGTTTGAGCTAGGATCCCATACCCCGTGCTGCGCCCACACACACTCCCCCAGCTTCCACCCAGGATCGCGCTCCCATTTGTACCGCGAATCATTGTAGTCAGCAGGCAGCCAGGCGGTCTCGCCCCGAGGGTCAATGAGCGTCCGTCCGACCTTGTATGGCCCCAGGCCGCCCATATCCCACGTGTCAACCTCGCACGCACGCCCAGACCCGGTAAGAATGGCCTGCCAGATGGTCGGGCACGATCCCTTCTTGAGGGCCTGCTCCTTGGGGATGACGCTCATGTCTTCGAGTCCAATCAAGCCCCGTGCCGGCTCGTTCATGCTCTCCCATCCAAAGACGACCTCATTGAGAATGTCGCCAGCATCCTTGATCCTCCTTGCTAGGTGCTCCACGGCGTCGAAGAAGTGGCGCTGTAGGTAGTCTTGAATGTTTAGGCCGTCCACGATGCACTTGGGTGTGAACGCCTTTCCCGCGAAGAACATTGTGAATATGGTCGCAACAGCAAGGCGGTTGTAATTAGTCGACCATATCATCTTGGGGTAGTTCTCGGGCTCTGGATAAGTATTGTGCACTATGGCTGCCTCGGTGGCGGCGAAGGACTGCGGGTTCAGGCCGGCGAGGTATAGCGTCCACATTGGGGCGCCAGAGCCGCCAGAGAACCTCGACCACTGCGCGGGTCAGTACGCTGGCTTCCATACAGAGTGCGAGGTGCGAGAGCCCAGGGCGAACATACCACGTCTTGGTGGGGGTCCATGTATATAAAGAAGCCGTAGTCCTTTGCTGTCCTCAAAACCTCAATGGTATGGCTTATCCACTCCTCGTCGTATATTCCAGGACCCCTGGCCTCGATGGCCTCCCAGGTGAAGACATATCGTATCGTGTTGTAGCCGAAACGCCTCAGCCTGGCGAAATGCACATGGGCATCGTCCTTGGTGAATGGCCTCTTGTGGAAGCTGACGTTGTCTCCGTCGAAAAAGTTGTCGGAGACCTGGGAGGGCTGGTCGAAGGGCTCGCTGGGGTACTTGGCATCGCCGGCAACATTGATACCGCGGAGGATGACCTGGCGGCCAGATGCATCGACAAACTTGCCCTGCTCAATGAGAAGACGGAGTGGGGCCATAACGGCAGGACAGGGCCGGGTACGGGTACGGGGTTGATGAATGTTCGCAGGCCGCCGCTCCGCAGAACCGAACGATTAGAGCTGGCGAGGTCATGCGACGAAAGGGCCAGACGTGTATAGGACACGGAATCGGAATGTAGTGGGTGGACTTTGGAACGATACAAGAAGCCAGGCCAGAGGCAGAGGGAGTCGAGGTGTTGGACTTTGATGGCGTCCTGGGCAATCAGCAGTTGTCTTCGAAGACACCAACGGGGTTGTCGGCCGATTCAAGCCCCGGCTCTCGATGACGTTGCGGAAACGGTTCACAGCGGCCGAGCGCGGGACGGGCTTGGGACGAGCTTCCTTGGTCACAGAACCGCAGAGCGTGCGCCTCACTGTGGAAATCGGGTGTCTGTCCCTCTCCAGCCGTACGACTGGACGAGATATCGTTCGAAGGTGAGATGTTCTGAATTCATCCCTTGAACAGCATCAATCGCCGCCCGCCAGCTTGTTAGACCGCCATGGCATTTCGCTGCATGTGACGTCGCGCCCGAGGATTTGCCGTTTCGATAATGCCACGCTCTGGCCAGCCCCCAGCCCCGCTTTACAAAGTACCTAGGTACTGTGTAGTCACCTGGACAGGGTGCAGCCCGCCACCTAGCCAGGTACACGCTCGGCCAATCTAGGTGCCTGGGCTGCTAAGGTCACCACTTATCTGTGGTGGAGATTCCGTGACCACCGAGTCGCGCTTGCACCGTTGCACCTGGGCCCAAGTACTCGGGTACGTCTGTGGCACTCAACGCGTCCCGACGCGTCTCACCAGCGACTTTTCTTCCTGCACTGTAAAACCACCGCACCACTTCGGTGAGACACACCCAGGCTCCTACACACCTCATCGTGCTGTTGTCCGTGTACAAATCTAGTTTTGGAAACAGATTTCGCTGTCATCATGCCTCATTCCACGTCTCCAGCATCCACTCCTCCCGTCCCAACGCCGACGAGCGAGGACGAAATGGAGCAAATGGAACAGGACGCGCCAGCCAACAATGGCACCCAACCAGACGAGAGCAACACGGAGATCACAATGGCCGAGGTGAACGCCCTGCGCTTAGAGGAGGAGCCAAAAAAGGAGGTCAACCTGGACGACCTGTTCGCAGATGTCGACTCAGACGACGATGAATTCTCAAGTACAAACAAGGCCACTCAGAGCCAGGTGCCGCCCACGAGCTCCCCTGCCCAGGATTCTCCTGGCACGCCTGAGTGAGCGGCCCTCACTTCGCCGTCGCTCCTGTAGCTAAGGCTGACGCAACTCTCCCAGTGACGGCGCCCCTATCAAAGCCAGCGCAAGCGACCCCGAGGTCATGCGCAGTTTCTACCAACGTCTCTTCCCGTGGCGATATCTGTTCCAGTGGCTGAACCACAGCCCTACGCCAACCAATGATTTTGCCCACAGAGAGTTTGCCTTCACATTACAAAACGACGCGTACTTGCGATACCAGTCCTTCCAGACGGCTGATCTGTAAGAAACCCCGTGTCGAAAACCGATGCTGGTATGGCCACAACTGACGCCCGTTCAGCATCCGCAAAGACGTCCTGCGCCTACTCCCCTCGCGTTTTGAGATCGGCCCTGTCTATACTACCAACCCGCGTGACCGGAAACAGCTCAAGAACCTGTCCGCCTTCCGACCCCTGGCGAAAGAGCTCTGCTTTGATATCGATCTGACAGACTACGACGACATTCGGACATGCTGCGACAAGGCCAACATTTGCATCAAGTGCTGGCAATTCATCACAATGGCTATACAAGTGGTCGACAAGGCGTTGCGTGACGATTTCGGTTTCAAGCACATCATGTGGGTCTACTCGGGCCGGCGTGGTGCTCACGCCTGGGTCTGCGACAAGAAGGCGCGCACCATGGAGGATCAGAAGAGAAGAGCTGTCGCGGGTTACCTGGAGGTACTCAAAGGCGGTGCACAGAGTGGCAAGAAGGTCAACGTCAGGAGACCATTGCACCCGCACTTGACGTAAGTCCCGTTGCGCACGCCTCGACTCCCGGCCGCACAAGCTGACATGGATCGCAGACGGAGCCTGGATATTCTGGCGCCGCATTTTGCAGAGGACGTACTAGAGAAGCAGGACCCCTGGGATACGGACGAGCGGGCGGAGAAGCTCCTGCAATTGCTGCCAGACAGGACTCTCAACGACTCCCTGCGAAAGAAGTGGGCGTCTGCGCCAGGGCGGTCTTCCACGTCCAAGTGGGCCGATATTGATGCCATCACCAAGGCCGGAGGCGCAGGCAAGAATCTCGACACAAAAGACCTCCTGGCCGCGAAGCAGGACATCGTGCTGGAGTACACATATCCCAGGCTCGATATCGAGGTCAGCAAGAAGCTGAACCACTTGCTCAAATCTCCATTCGTTGTGCATCCTGGCACGGGGAGGGTTTGCGTGCCCATTGACACGCGGCCGGGCAAGCTGGAGGATTTCGACCCTACGGCTGTGCCAACGGTGCAGACTCTCCTGGGGGAAATTGACGCGTGGGCAGAGGAAGAGGGCGCGGCAGGAGACGCCAAGACCAGCATCCAAGACTGGGAGAAGACCAGCCTGAAGCCCTACATCGAGCAGTTCAGGGCCTTTGTGGGGGCGTTGCTGAAGGATGAGAGGGGGGATGTGAAGGTGAAGAGGGAGCGGGAGGAACCCGACGCGATGGAATTCTGATCCTTGTCCGGTGGTATTGAGGTTTTGGATGGCGTCGGCCGCAGCAAGGAAAACCACGCGACAGTCGTCGAGCCTGCGCAGCCACACTGCCACATTGACGGCGAGGCAACGAGGCATGGGAATGGGGGCAACAATGTGCTGGCGTTCGGTATAATTCTGGGTTCCATGCGGTCATATTTTCCGTCCATCCGTCCTAGCCCGAGGCTGGGCGAAATCAACAATCTTTGCGCCGGCGTAACGGACGCGATGTCTATTGGTGCGCATCTTCCGCGCTGGCCACCGCGCCAGCATCCCCAGAGTTTCCCCAGACTGCCACTGGCTGTGCCCCCTGAATCCCGGCCCATGCCCACCTTGGATGCTACCTTCTCCAATACCCGCCTGGTCGCCCCAACTCGCCCGCCCGCATTTCCCCCATCAGCGAGGATTATAACCTAGAATGACTGTCGCTATAGCACGCGAGAGAGTCATTGACCACCTGCTTTCCGCGCGGGCGAGGAAGCTCAATGCGGCCAGGCACCCACTGCGCGAGATACACCGAGGTCTGATTATGCGGGGCACCCTGTCCCGGTCAGGAACGTGGGTTCCAGCGGGTGCGTGCATGATGCCATCATGGGCCAAGGGCAGCCTCCTGGCACATGCACAAATGCCGTGTGCCAGCCCATCTATATAAACATGAGAGGTTCGCGCGCCGGAATCCGAAAAGCGTGCACCCTTGGTCTGGTAAGAAGGTTGCATTCGCGGTTTTCTCCTGACGGTCCCGTCTTTATTTTTACTCGGAGGTAGTAACCCGTCCGACCCTGCATACCCCTTCACGATGGCGTCCCTCAAGCCCATCGTCTTGCTCTCGTCCCTCCTCTCCCTCACCCAGGCAAGCCCTCTTCACCACCCGGGGGGTGAGGTCACGACGTTTGAGAACAATGTCGTCTTCGTGCCGCCCTCGGACTACACAGACCCGCGAGTTCTCTACCCGCGCACCGCCGAGCTCACACTGCACGGCAATGTGCTCCTCGGAACATGGGAGAACTACTCGCCCGAGCCGCCACTGGTCTACTTCCCCATCTACAAGTCTGTCGACCACGGCAAGACCTGGAAGCACATCTCGAACGTGACCGACGACGTCAATGGGTGGGGCCTGAGGTATCAGCCATTCATCTACGAGCTGCCCGTCGACTTCGGTGGGTACAAGGCTGGTACGGTGCTGGTGGCTGGCAACAGCATCCCGACGGATCTGAGCGAGACCAAGATCGATGTCTATGCGAGCACGGACGCCGGGTGCACGTGGGAATTTGTGAGCAGTGTTGCCAGGGGAGGCGAGGCGCTGCCCAACAACGGGCTGACGCCTATCTGGGAGCCCTACATCGAGTGAGTTCGAGCCCCTGTTCTGAGCCCCCCCCCCCCCGATGGACATGAGTGACTCATGATCGTCATCAGGATGTTTGAAGACAAGCTCGTCCTGTACTACTCGGACCAGCGCGACCCAGACCACGGCCAGAAGCTCATCCACCAGACGACAACGGATCTTTTGACCTGGGCCGACCCGGTCGACGATGTTGCGTACGACGAGTACACCGACCGCCCGGGCATGACCACCATTGCCCAGCTGCCGACTGGCGACTACATCCTCACTTATGAGTGGGGCCACGACTTCTCCGGCCGCTACTCCTTCCCCGTGACATACCGCATCAACGCGAACCCGCTCGACTTCGCCAACAGCGAGCCGGTCGGCATTGTTGCCGCCAACACGGGCACCACCCCCACGGGCTCCCCTTATGTCGTCTGGAGCAGCGTCGGCGGCGAGAACGGCACCATCATCGTCAGCTGCGGCAACCTCGGCTCCGTCTTCACCAACCAGGCCCTCGGCGCCGCAGACCAGTGGTTCGAGCGCGAGACGCCTCAGCCTGCTGCGTACACGCGCCACCTCCGAGTCTTTGCCGAGGACCCAGACAAGCTGCTCATCAACGGCGCCGGCAAACTGCCCCCGTCGACCACCAACGAGGTGTCCCTGTCGGTTGTCTCTATCGAGGGGCTGCTGTCCTCGTAAGGAGGTGGGGCTGGATGGGAGAAGTTGGTACCTCACTTGTATATATGACTGTAAATACGACTCAAGTGCACTATGATCAACTGTGCGTTCAAGGTCTTTTGGTGTGCGAGTGCTTCAACACCGCGGCTCTTTTGTATGCAACTGGCCTTTTGAGCCGGTCTGGATTGCGGCCACGGGATGGTGGTGCCCACCAGATAGATTTGCATCTGGAGGCAAGGGTGCTATGTTGTAATCTCTTTCGAGACCTCTCCCTGGCCCTCGCCTGGTTGTTGCTGCTTCTCGTCCTGTCCAGCGTCGAGCTCTCCCTCTTTGCCATCTTCATCTTCGTCATCCCCCTCCCCGTTCTCGCCCTTCAGCTTGCCGCCCTTGCGTTTCGGGATGACCTCCTGGAACGCCTTGCCCCAGTCACCAGTCTCGAGCCATTTCGACATGATCTCGACCACGTGGTTCGTCGCGAGGACCTGCCGGCTCGCCATTTGCATGTAGTCGCCGATCGGTAGCTTAGCCGTCCGGATGCCCTTCTCCTCGGCGCGCTTCTGGCACAGGAGCTTCTCCCTGTTCCGGTCGACGATCCCGCCGATCACATAGCTCGTGTGCGGCTCGAGCTTTTCGAGGACATTCGGAGAGTCGGCGGAGAGATAGACGATGGAGTCGGTCGTGAACTCGGGGGTGGGCGCAGCCTCTTTCTCGGCCGATGTCCCGTCTTCGGGGGCATCCCCTCCCGCTTCTGTGGGCTTCTTATCGCCAGGTTGTTTCTCCGTGTCTTGTTGTCCGCCCAACGCAGGACAATACCTGCCACCCCTGGGTCCATGCATGATGTCCCAAGCGGTCTTGCCTGCCTCCACAAAGTCGTAGTCGACAAACCGCACGCCCTTGTAGTTGAGGTGCGTGTTCTGCATCACCGTCTCGAACCTCCGTTTCAGGAAGCCGCCCCAGGAGCTGACCAGTATGTGCGCCTGGTACTGGCCAGCCCTGTTCATGGCGTAGCATCTTGTGACCTGGGCGCCCAGTGACACGAGCTCGGGCTCGCGCATGTACTTCTCGAAGTCGCAGTCTATGATGAACGTAATGGGCACCACCACCTTCGGCTTGGGCTCCTTCTGCTCGGCGGCGACGATTTGTTTCATAGCCTCGCTCTTGTCGATGCCCTGTTCCTCGGCGAGCTTGGCTGCCTTCTCGTCGCGCTCGAGTCGTCTCCTGGCCGATTTCTCGTGCCGCTTGTCCTTTCGGACTGCCTTGCGGTCTTCCTTTTTCTGCTCCCAGAGTTTCTGGCGCTTCAATTTCTTCAACTGGTTTTTCGAGATCTTGGGCTGCCCTGTTGTGTCATCCGCAGGGTCGTCCGAGGCTTTCGACCCTGCGTTGTTGTCTGCTTCGTCCTCATTCTCTACATCGTCTTCTGCGTCATCTCTTGGCCGTTTTCTCGGGTTCGCTTCGGGGGATTTTGCTGGTGCATCGGCCATGTTGATGTCCAAAGGCTGTTCAGCCACAGAAGCCGTGGCTTTGTCGTCGCCCTCCATGTTTGCGGTTGTTGATGCTGTTAATCTGCGAATGAAACACTGGATGTGGTTTGCGCTGTTGGTGACCGAGCATAGGGACGGCCGCGTCGCGGGGTGCACTGGAACTTTTTGGCAGCTTGGGGTGGCAGAAACCCACCAGGGTAGGCGGTGGGGAGCTCCAAGCTTGGTGTCTCGGGCTGGGCCGCTTGATCTGCGGCATCGTGGTGGTGGTGGTGGGCGGCAGCTTGGTGGGAGCTGGGGTACCTGAAGTTCAGGCAAGCTATGCCCGGCAGTGCATGACCGTGTTGGCGGGCGGTTTCTTCGCTCGTGCGTGTAAATGATGGACAATATCTCGTTGACGGAATATCCTGTCTTTAGCTCAAGCACGGGTGTCAGTGCAGGTCGCTGTATAAGACCCATGGCGCTGCTGCCGGAAGAGCGTGAAGATGTTCTCAATCTCCACTCGCTTAATTGACTGTAGCTGACGACTCCAAATACTAATGGTCCAAGACAGGGTTTCAGGCATATGTAGAGTATGTCTTTGCAAATCGCTAGGCCGAGAATTCCCGCCCTGGTTATATCCCAACATTATTCTTGGCGCGTTACATACCACTGGCTAGGGCTCTCGATAAATCATGCAATTGATCTCCACTCAACTATAGCATATATGGCCTCGCCCACCCACCTACGCACTGAGGATACTCAGCAGTCCAAAGACACAAACATAACATACTTTGCCTGCGATGGGATCGAAGTGAGCCATTCATGAGTACGGGCCAAGAACCCCCAGAGTGTGTTCCCAGATCTTGTCTTGAGTCTTTTCCCGAAGCAGAGGCAAGACCCTCGCATTGGTACTACAGTCGCACTTGGAACTGGCGAGGAACAGGCCGTTGGCCTGCTTGCCTAGCGAGTTCACGCCGGGCCTGCCTTGCCATGGCACACCACGACCGCCAAAAGCAGCGCTGGTGCTCTCAAACAGGTGCCTCTGCCCAGACTCATCGTGGCTGAACGAGAACAGGGTAATGATGGGCTCAAGGAAAGCCCAGACGACCCAGGCCATGAACGAGTCCGGGTCACGGCCTCTTCTGACATTGCCCGTGCTGACCCACCCGGGCGTCGAGTGGATGAAAGTCACATTGGGGTTCTCGCCTGCCAGCCTCTCCAATGCCATTGTGTTCATAGCGGTGTACTGAATCTGAGCCTTGGCACCGCTGAAGTTGCCGGGTTTCTTCAGGTCCAGGTCATCCAGGTTGACCGCGCGGGACCACTCCATCCCGCCCGCCAGCACGCTGACGACCCTGGGGGACTCCGCCGCCTCCATGAGGGGCAGAAGCTGGAGGATGCAGAGCACCCGCGAGTAGTACTCGAGGCTCTGGGCGATCTCCACGCCCTCGGAGGTCTCCCTTCGAGGGCCGAATGGCGCGTAGCCCGCGGTGAGGAACAGCAGGTCGACACGTGTCTCCTTGCGCTTGATGACCTCGCACACTCTCTTCGTCTCTGCGAGTAGAGAAATCTCGCCCTCGACCCAGATGACCTCGGATTTGGGGTTGGTGGTGCGTAGCTCCCGGATGAGGGCTTCCGAGCGCTCCTCGGAGCTCTTGCGCCCGACGAGATAGACCCTCGCGCTGGCTCCTGTGGCGACCAGGGCCTTGATCGTCAGCTGTCCAATGCCCGAAGTGCCACCGACGAAGACGGCGACACGCGGCGCCGTGGCGTCGTTGATCATCGCGTTTGACGCTTGGATTTCGGTATAGGAGACCATGGCGAACAATGGTGATGCAGATGTGCGATTCCTCAGAATTTAGGTTGGAGACTATAGACTAGGAATTACCAGATACAAGAGTACAGATCTCCCAGGACTCCCATCTTTATAACAAATCGGTCTCGCTCACGGTGATTCATACTGATACATCCACGGAAAAGTGTCCGAAGCGGCAGAACTCGGTGTGTTTTTGGGCCGTCGATGGCGCACAGAGCATCATCTCGCGGCTGCCTGCTGCTGGTAGTCTGGGAGGAGGATCGGTTGGATCGACGTAGCCGGGTCCAAGATGGAGGGTTTCATGGCGGGGGAATTGAATGTTTGCCTTTTTGGCGGACGGTTGACGAAAGTCTCAGAGGAATGTTGTCGTGCTCCAGATACCTAGGTACCTAGGTACCTGGGCACAGCGGATCTCGCCCCAGGTTCTGAGACCCCTGGACCCCGGCACGCCCCACTTAAACTTAATGGAGTCGCGTCGCGGTACGCGTTGAGTGCTTGCTACTCTTGGGCGAGGGAGCTTCCAACGAATGCACCCTCATCAACTCCAGGTCCTCGTCTCATGCACTCTTTTTCTGGTGGAACAAGACGTTATTGACAGCGGCCAGCACCTTGGCTCTCCTCGTCCCGTCTGTTAGGTCTCTGATACGCTCAACATGTCTTCCCGACCAGAGTTGAAGGTGTGTCGCCCCCTGCTTCCCCTTGCCAGCCTGGAAAATGCGGGTTCTAACCATGAGTGGTTTCCCAGGTCGATGACGAGCACGGCTTCATCCGGTTTTTCAAGTCCCTTCCCACAGTAAGCGATGAGACTGTCCGAATATTCGACAGGGGCGACTGGTACACCGCGCACGGCGAAGATGCCAACTTCATAGCGCGAACCGTCTACAAGACCACCTCCGTGGTCCGCCAGCTGGGAAAGAATGACCAGACTGGCCTGGCATCAGTGACGATGACCGTCACAGTCTTCCGGCAATTCCTCCGGGAAGCACTGTTCAAGCTGGGCAAGCGTGTGGAAATCTGGGCAAGTCCTGGCAGCCGCATGAACTGGAAGATCGCCAAACAAGCCTCACCAGGAAATCTGCAGGATGTGGAGGAGGATCTGGGAGGCCAATTCGACGGTGCGCCCATGATCATGGCCGTCAAGTTCTCCGCCAAGGCCAGCGAGGCAAGAAGCGTCGGTGTGTGCTTCGCCGACGCCAGTGTCCGCGAGCTGGGAGTCAGCGAGTTCCTCGACAACGACCTGTACTCCAATTTCGAGGCTCTCCTGATCCAGCTCGGAGTGAAGGAGTGCTTGATACAGTTCGACAAGGGCGACAAGGACAAGGACCCCGAGCTGGCCAAGTTGAAGCAAATCATCAACAACTGTGGCATTGCAATGTCAGAGCGGTCTGCGGCCGACTTTGGAACCAAGGACATTGAGCAGGACCTGGCAAGAATACTAAAAGACGACCGCTCCGCATCCATGTTGCCACAGACAGAATTAAAGCTGGCCATGGGATCTGCCGCCGCGCTCATCAAATACCTCAATGTGCTCCAGGACCCCTCCAACTTTGGACAATACCAGCTTTATCAGCACGACCTGTCGCAGTTCATGAAGTTAGATGCTGCTGCCCTAAAGGCACTGAACCTGATGCCCGGGGCGCGAGACGGCGCCAAGACGATGAGCCTGTATGGGCTCTTGAACCACTGCAAAACGCCAGTGGGCAGCCGGCTTCTGTCCCAATGGCTCAAGCAGCCTCTCATGAGCAAGGATGAGATCGAGAAGCGCCAGCAGCTCGTCGAGGCCTTCGTCAGCGACACTGAGCTTCGCCAGACAATGCAGGAGGAGCACCTCAGGTCTGTACCTGACCTGTACCGACTGGCAAAGAAGCTGCAGCGGAACAAGGCCAACCTCGAAGATGTCGTGAGAGCATATCAGGTGGTAATTCGCCTGCCGGGGTTAATTGGCACGTTCGAAGGAGTGATGGATGAGGCGTATCGCGACCCCCTGGACGCCGCCTACACCACCAAACTGCGTGAGCTGTCCGATAGTCTCGTCAAGCTCCAGGAGATGGTGGAGACAACGGTGGACCTTGATGCGATGGATCAGCATGAATTCAAGATCAAGCCCGAGTTCGACGACAACCTCCGTGTCATAAGCAAGAAGCTGGAGCTTCTGCGACGTGACATGAACAAGGAATTCGTGGACGCGGCGAACGACCTCGGCCAAGAGCAGGACAAGAAGATCTTCCTCGAGAGCCACAAAGTCCACGGATGGTGCCTGCGGCTGACCCGGGCTGAGGCGGGATGCATCCGCAACAGAAAAGAGTACAAGGAGTGCTCAACACAGAAGAACGGCGTCTACTTCACCACCAACAACCTTCTGAGCATCCGTCGCGAGTTCGACCAGTTATCGCAGAACTACAACCGGACCCAGAGCGGCCTGGTCAACGAGGTTGTCAGCGTCGCGGCGTCATACTGCCCGGTCCTCGAGAGACTTGCGGGCGTCCTCGCACATTTGGACGTCATTGTCTCCTTTGCCCACTGCTCTGTGCACGCTCCCATCTCGTATGTACGGCCCACGGTCCACGAGCGCGGGCAGGGTCAGACGATCCTCAAGGAGGCCCGCCATCCGTGCATGGAGATGCAGGACGATGTGCAGTTCATCACCAACGACGTGGAGCTTACACGGGACAAGTCATCGTTCTTGATCATCACGGGACCAAACATGGGCGGCAAGTCCACATACATCCGCCAGATCGGCGTGATTGCCCTGATGGCACAAGTGGGCTGCTTCGTGCCGTGCAGCGAGGCGGAGCTGACGCTCTTCGACTCCATCCTCGCACGCGTGGGCGCGAGCGACTCCCAGCTAAAGGGCGTCTCGACCTTCATGGCCGAGATGCTGGAGACGGCAAACATCCTCAAGTCGGCGACGGCCGAGTCCCTGATCATCATTGACGAGCTGGGCCGTGGCACCTCGACCTACGACGGGTTCGGGCTGGCATGGGCGATATCCGAACACATTGTCAAGGAGATTGGCTGCTTCGCCTTGTTCGCAACGCACTTCCACGAGCTCACGGCGCTCGCGGAGCAGTACCCCCAGGTCACGAACCTGCACGTCACAGCGCACATCAGTGGCACGGGCGCAGACAAGGACAGCAAGAGGGAGGTTACGCTGCTGTACAAGGTCGAGCCGGGCATCTGCGACCAGAGCTTCGGTATCCACGTGGCGGAGCTGGTGCGCTTCCCGGACAAGGTGGTCCGCATGGCAAAGCGCAAGGCGGACGAGCTAGAGGATTTCACGACCAAGCATGAGGAGGGCACCGTGGGCAAGTACAGCAAGCAGGACGTGGAGGAGGGCAGCGCGTTGCTGAAGGAAGTGCTTGTGCGCTGGAGGGAGCAGGTCCAAGGCGGGGAGATGAGCAAGGACGAGATGGTGGCCAAGCTGAGAGAGCTGGTCAAGGCCGATGCAAGGCTGACCAGCAACCCGTTTTTCGAGAGCGTCCAGGCCTTGTGAGGCCGATCCACCTGGCAGATGAGATGCTGGAGTGCTGTATTCTGATGGGACATGGATGGAAAGACGTCATGTCTGGTCCTGGCGTTTGGAGGCTTGTGGGGAATTATCTCATCCCCTGTACGGGGGAGGAGCTTCGCAATGGGAACATCAATCTGCCTGTACTCCGCAGCGCCCGGAACAGCAAGTGTGAAATAACCAACACGTTGTGTTGGGATGAGATTCCGCAGGGCTCCGCGCTTCCGTGGTGTAATTTGGAGGGGCGCGGAGCGAGTCAGTGGAAAGAGGCGGGCTGGCGGGTAGGTTTGGACTCGAAACAACGTCTTGACAACTAGAGTGCACCATCATGCGCTTCTTCTTCTTTCAAGGACATGGGGTTAATTTGTCCTTGACAACTGACAAGACGATGACAGCACAGGCGCCCCGACAGCCACGACGTTGCATCCGGGCCGAGCCCATACTTTGCTGATGTTTCTTCCGGACGACGACCTGTTGCGCCATGGTCGAGCCGAGTGTGGTAGCGACGCGGCTCTACCCGCCTCGTGCTCATCCGATACAGAGCACACCTGGCGCAAGGTTTGGAGTACACACGGCTGTGCCTCTCCCATGGGGTCAAGCGGGGGCTTCTGATTGCGGGAAATGAAAAGCCCATTCACGACGTGCAGAACGTGACTTCAGCTGACGACGAATTTGAGCCGCCTCTTCCCAGCCTAGCCTAGCCCCCGCCTTAGCAGCCCCTAATATCAAACCCAGTCCTGAACAGGCTGCCGGGCTGACAAGTCTGCCACCCCGTCCAGCCGACACTACCGAGTCGCCTCATTCCTCGACGGTTCTCAGATCCTCCACCAGTAGGATCGAGGCATCCGGCACCCATTCCTTTCAGTATCCAACGTCCTCCTCCCCCTAAAACATGGGAGAGGGTAATCGACGTGCCGCTTTGCAGCCCGGTGGACAAAACAAAACGATCGGCCACGGTGGCGGTATACAGCTCGCTTAAAAAACACTAAAGCTCGCTTAAAATTAACAAAAATAAAATAGTTAAAATAGGTAAAAATTAATATAAATAAAAATTAAATAAAAATCCTATACCTAAAGGTAAATATAAATATTTTATAAATTTATAAAAAATAAATATATAAAAAATATAATTTTATATTATTATAAATAAATAATATAATATATAAATAAATATATTATAATAATAATTTAATTATATTAAATTATATTTTAATTAAATTATAATTACTTTATAATTATAATATAAATATATTTTAAATATAATTATAATATAATTATAACTATTTAAAGGTTTAATTAAACTTTTATATTAATAATATAAATAGTAAAATATATTATTTTATATAAATAATATAAGTATTATATAAAAGTATAAATTATTAAATAAAAATTTTAAATTTAATTTTATATATAAAATAAAATATATTTAAAAATAAATATAATTAATATAAATATTAAATAAAATAAAATAAAATAATAAAATAATTTAATTAATAATTAAATAAAATAAATTAAAAATATAATTATAATTTAATTTTAAATATAATTTAAAATATATTTTAAATATTTTATAATTATTATTTTAAATATATTTTAAACTTTTATTTAATAATTTATAAAAATATATTTAATATTTATAAAAATAGTAATATAATTTTTAAATAGTTTATATAAATATATTATATATATTAAAAATATTTTTATTTTATAAGGGTAGTTTAAAATATATTAATAAAATATATAAATAATATAAATATAATTTTTATAATTTAAATAAAAATTATATATAATATTATTATTTAAAAATTAGTTTTTAAATCTTTTATATATTTAAAAACTTAATTTTATAATATGCTTAATTAATATCTTTTACTTTCTTTATAGGTTTAAAATACCTAATTTATTTTTTATAGCCTTTAATCCTTTTATTAAAATTATAATATTAAAAGTTTATAAAAATATTAATAAAAGGTAATAAAAACCTATAAAATAAAGTTTAAATTTAATTAGGTTTACTATTTATATAAATAATTTATATTTATAATAATATTAAACTTTAAATTAAATTTATTAAGGAAAACCTTAATATAAAAATTAAACTTTTAATAAGCTATTATAAAATCTTTAAATAAAATATATTTAATAATTAAAGCTAGCTTATAAAATAAAATTTTATTATTATATATTAAATTAAATATATATTATTAATATTTAACTATTTTAATAATAATAAATAGGGTATTATTATATTTATTAATATTTAAAATTATAAATAAAATAAAGCTTTATAATTATATAATAATATAAGTAAAATAGGTATTTTAAATAATAATTAAAGTTTATTATAAATATAAATATAATTTAGCTTTATTAAACTATTTAAATAAAAATTAAATATTATCTTTTAGGTAATATAATATATATTTTATAATAGTACTAGTATATTAAAAGCTATATTTGCCCTTATTTATATATTAAATTATAATAACCTTTTATTAATATAATAAAAGTAATAAAAATAAATAAAGAAAATTTATACTTAAATAAAAATTTAATATATAAGTAGAAATTATAAAATATATAATTTATATATTTTATAATAATATAATAATTAATATTATAAAGCTAGTATTATATAATAAAATAAGCCTTTAAAATTAAAATATTATATTAAAATTATTAAAATAAAAATAATAATAAATTATATTATTTAATATTTATTAAAATATAAAGTAAAATAAATAAAATATATAAAAGCTATTTTAAATTTTATTAATATTATATATTAAATAAATATAGGTTAAATAAATATAAACTATTATTTAATATATTAATTAAAAATTAATAATTTAAAAGGCTACTTTTAAAACTTTAATAGCTAGTTAAAATAGTAATATATATTACTTTAAAAATGCTTATAATATTAGGAAAATATTAATATATATATATTATAAAGTACTTATAATAAGGTTTAAAAGTATTATATAAGGGTAAATAAATATAATAAATAGTATTTAAGGGCCTTATAAATATAAAAATTAAGTTTAAATTATAAATATAAATTATTTTAAAGTTAAAATATAATAATTAATAAAAATTATTTTAAATTACCTTTTAATTTTATATATTTAAAATATAAAATATAGTTATAAAAATACTTATAATTATTTATAGAAAATATATAAATTATTAGTTTAGCCTAATTAATAAAACTTTAAAGTTAAAAAAACTTAATTATAAAATATAATATTAATTATTAATAATTTTATTATAAATTTTAATAGGTTTACTAATATATATTTAAAGGAAGTATATATATTAAAAAAACTTTATATAAAAGTTTATATTATTATTTAACTATTTTAATAATTATTATAATAATATAATAATATAATATTTATAAATATATATAAAAATTAAAATAATATAAATAAACTTTATATTTTAATATATAAAATATATTAAATTTATTTTTAAAAGGTATTAGGGTTAATATAATTTTATATTAGTAAAAGTAGTTTAATATTAATTTTTATTAAAAATATACTTTTAGTTTTAATTAAATATAATTTAAGGATTAATTATAAATAATTATAATATATTTAAAATATTATTTTAATAAAATAAATTATATTATTATTACCTTTTTTAAAATAATTAAATATTTTTAAAAGTATTAAATATTTAAAATAAATTTTTTTAAATAACTTAAAAGTATTAAATAAAATAAGTTAATTTTAAACTTTTAACCTAGTTATTAATAAAAATATATATAATTTATATTTATTTTTATTTACTTTTATTTATTTATTATATTAGTTTTAATTATTATATATATATATATTAATAACTTTAATACCTTATTTTTATTACCTTTTTTAAAAATATTTTAAGGTTTAAAAAGTATAACCTCTTTTAATTAATTATTTTAAGTTGGAAATAATATATAATCCTAACATGCTATTATAATAAATATAAATATTAAATAGGTTGCTAGTATACCCTTTATAAAATATATTTATTAGTTTTATATTTATTATAAATTAAGTTTAAAGTAATATTTATTTAAGTTTAATTTATAGGGTTAGTTATAATAAAAATAGGTTTTATATATTATAATATTTTATATAATATATTTTATTATAATATTAAAAAATTATAAAATAATTTTATTATTATATTAAGAAATGTTTACTTTTATTATTATTAAGTTAAAAGATTTTTATATAAATTAGTATTATTTAATAATTTATAAATATATATTATTTAAATATTATTTATAAATAGTTTTTATTAATTTTTAAATTAATATATTTAAATTATAATTTAGTAATTTAAAATTAAGTTAAATAAAAAATATTAGCTTTATTATATATAAAATTAATTAATATATTTTATAAATTATATTTAATATATAGGATATTGCTAAACTATATATAAATATTATTAAGTTTTTATTTTTTAAAAATGCTATTAGTATTAAACTTACTTTATTTAAAGGATTTTTATATATATTGCCTTTATATAGTTTTAAATTTTTATTAATTAATTTTAAAGGTTATTAGCTTAATATATAATATTTCTAATAGTATTACTTTTTAAAAATAATAGTATTTATATCTATTATTAATATATTTAAAATAAATAGTTTTATAATTAAATAAAATATTTTATTATTAGTTATAAGCTAGTAAAAATATTTTTAAAAATAGCTTTAAATAAGCTAAAATTTAAATAAAACTTATTTATTTAAAAATTTAAAAGTATTTATTATTTAGTTTTTATTATTAAGGTAGTATAAAAAAAAGGTATAAATTATTTTACTATACCTTAAATATACCTTTATTAATTCTTTAAAAATTAATATATTTAAATTATAATAGTTTAATAAGTTTTACTTTAATAATTAATAAGGGTAAATAGTTGGTTTAAAAACTTAAATATATTATTTATATTAGTTTAGGGCTTTAAGTTAATATTTAAATATAATATACCATTTATAAGGCCTATAAATAATACTTATTTTACTTTTAACTTATTAAAATATAAGTAAAGCTAAATATATAAAGAGGGTATAAAGGATATTTTAATTATTATTATTAATTTAATATATATTAATAATAATATTTTAAATAAAATTTTAAAAGGTTTTAAAATTTTAAAGTTTAAAAATTTATAAAAAAGTTTTTATTTATTATTATTTTTAATATATTAAAATTAGTAATAGCTTATATATATATATTTTATATTTTATATTACTTTATTATTTTATATAATAAATAATATTTTATAATATATTAGCCTTATATATAATATAAAAAATAATAATTTATTTTTTTAATTAATATT